CTACTGTTAAAATAAGAAAAGAATCATACAGGTTGAACGCCCACGTTACGTTGAAGGTAATGAATTGCTTTATGAAACGTGTTAACCAATTACTGACTCATTTCCTTAAAATGTATCAATGACGGAAGCAATGGGATACCTTTTTCAGCTGAATTATAAAGTATTCTTGCTTTGAGTTATTTCTATACATTTTATGAGTCCGGCCTATCTGTACCCTATTCTTAGGTCAAAAAGCTCATTTTAGGCATATACAAAGGTAAATATAACAGAATCAGGGTGTTTAAACACGACATGGAGACTCGTTGTTTTTCCTCGTGCAAGTATTACTCAGCAAGAACAAAGGAGAGTAGGATAAAACAAGTATGTTATTAATTTTAAGCATATTCGTGTTTAAAATATTCGAATCAAACAATAAAATCATGAAAAAGTTTTGAAAATAATTATGCAGCTGAACTTTGAACTTTTTATAGACAATCAATTAAGAAACACGGTGATTTTTAGTTACCAAAACACAACACGAACAGGGGTAAATATCCCAGTAGGAATTCGTTCAGTTCTTTTTCCCGTTATACTAATTGTGTAATTCCAGTTCTTGCCGTCGGTAATACAGTTTGCTTAAAATATATCATGAACCATAGGAATCCACAGGTTCAGATAAAATAGTTTTTGATTTGTTGATCTGAACGTAAATATACGGTTTGAACTACATATCTTAGCAAAGGATGGTTTAGTTTGTAGTTGTTTTCATACGTCATATCGTGCATCGTCGAATATATTAGCAAAAAAGTATTTCTAGTCATAATGAAAGGTATCACAACTTGTCAACTACTGAAAACTATTCAAAGATATTTTGCAAACAAAAAACCGCTTACAGTATTAAAAAATGTCATTTTAGGATATTTGCACCAGTATGTACACACTGTATTGACAATGCAAAGACCCAGACACTGACGAGTGTCAGAATGGTGATTCAGCCAAGGTTTTTGTATCTGGTATTCTGATACATTTAATAAACAAACTGTAAGCTAATGCTTCAGGAGGTAAAATATGCAAGATTTCCCGATTACAATTTATGTGCACAAGATGTACATTAATGCGTCTTGCTGTTTGCTCCGTAAAAAGAATACACTTGTCTAAGATTACACGGTTTTTTTTATCGTGACCATCAAAAATTGCATGATGTGAAAACATTTTTATGCACATCAACGTTTAAAATACATACATATTTTCATGAAATTGTATGTAATGATTTATATCTCCTGTCAAGTCTAGGCGGTAAATGTGGGTCCGTTGACGGACAGCTAACCCGAATGTGGGTCAGCGACAGTTCCCGCTGAGAGTTGGACGACAGAACAGGGTTGACGACTACGGTATATCACAACTTCAGAGGAACCATACGACAAGTAACAAGTTCAAGATAATAAACTTCAAAGAATAAGCTACTTCTGCAATTGCACTTTTAAAAGATCATTGATGAATTCGTCATGTCATAATTTCTTAATCATATTTGGGAAATTTACTGTGGGAATGATGACTTGTATCAATTAGTGCTGTTGTTTAACACGTCTTGTTTGTAAGGATACACTTACAGAACATGTGCTGTACGGTCAGCTTTAAGGACATGAATAAATGCAACCAAAATAGGGCCGTGGTTTTGGCTGAGTGGTCAAGGCGTCTCACCGTCTTCGATCACTGGCAGTTACCACTTGTTTGCGGGTACACTGTACGATGCCTACGTGAAGCAGTCGCCAGTGTATAACAGCAGGTCGATGGTTTTCTCCGGATACTCCGGCTGTCCTCCACCACTAAAGTCTGGCACGTCCTTAAATTGCTATAGCTGTTAAAAAGAACCTAAAACACAAACAAACAAAGAAATACAACAACTGTTCGTCCTGAGTATAGATAAGAGAACCCTGCTATTTTGGGTTCTCGATATCCCTCAATGAATTCCATTCCTGTGGGTTTCACAATCCTTCAAAGGACATGTGTTTTTATCATCTGAACATTATCGCTGAAATAATTAAGCACCAAACATAATGACAGAACACCATAAAACATGTGAGCTTTATGACTGGAAACATAAGAATGTCACTGCCCTTATGTCAAATATAACAGGTATAGAGTGAAAATCTTTACACCATCTTTAAAAGCAAAACATCCATAAGGGCGTTTGTACTTTTGCTGACAAAGTAAAATCCAATATTCAGCTGATGAAAGAAGTACGTCACTGAGAAACTATCTTTACAATATCAAGCTCTTGTTCTTATTCTACGCTTCTCTCATATTTCATCTGCAATGACAGGCTCCTTATAGTGTGCCGGTGGTGTGTAGCGCTAGGTAGACATGTTTTTGGTCATTAAAGGGAACAGGTATCAAACACGTCTCTAATAGGGCTGTAAATGTCCCCTGTACGTAGGTATTCAACATATCACGCCATTACTAGGCAGTAATCATATACATTAATAGTATGAAGTGGCGGTGCTCTATTAAATTCAGGAAAACCGATTAGATAATTTGTCATTTTAAGTGTCAAATAAGAATGCCGTGCTTGTTCTTTCAAACCTATTACGGATATAATTTAGAAATATATGCAATTAAAGATTTATGATAGTTTAAAGAGGTTTTTGTTATACAATGGGAACGGAAGGCTGTACGGAATAAAGTTTACAGATTTTTTGTTTCTTCTATGAGAATGTAATCAGGAGTAGACCACAGAAATAAGGGAAATATGCGGTTTCATTAAAAGATCTTTAGATAAATGATGCAACTGAGTTTTGCGCGTGATAAATCATGGTTTTGTTGATAGAGCAGCAGTTTCTAACATGAACCGTGTAAGCTCTGACGGTCGCATTGCTGTGCTATCAGAGTGGAATTCCCTGCACGTAGATATGCACATACAACACACGGTGTCATCAGATAGGAGATATAGAATGTATGTCGTATCTCTGGCACCAGTTGTTCCAAGTCCGATGAGTAGTTTGTGCTATCTTCCTCTGATTTCTTATAAGATTCCCTTTCATTTCTTAATTGAAATAACCCTCTTATGACACAAAAACACTAAGAGCGTGTATCAAACAGTCGTGACGTCTGGAAAAGTCGATGAACCTACCAATGGCCTAAATACATTAACAACGAAATATTGTTGCTGTATAAAAATATCAGACGAAGTCATAAGCATAACGTATATGCTGAACAATGTAGAGGAAAGGTACCGTTAAGATAGTTGACTTTTTGGCAGTTCCTTTGGTATGTCTGACAAATGTGCATATTGTATTGTAGAGTGTATGATATTATATTTAGCGTGTAGGATATAAATACGTCTGAAGTATGATCTAATTAAGTAAATACGTAGAGCGTAATCCGTGCAATATGGCGTGGAGGATATTTACCAATCAGCTATCTTAATGTCATTTACCCTGTACTACTAGTATGAAAGAACGTTAGTATCAAAAACGACATCAATTAACGCGTGAGCGTTTACTTTGTAAACCTTCCACTTAAACGCCAATTTAACTCCAACGTCCTAATGTTCCAACACTTTTTAAACTTTTTCACATTTTAAACGCATTAAATTTAAATTTTAACGCATTTTAACATGAAATGCTACGGTGAACAGCTTATCATCTTACAACTTCTTAACGCGTAAAGCTGGAACGCGTTTAAAACAACTGCGTTAAATAATCAGCCAATTAATATTCTGAATGTACCTCAATATATCGTTTCCCAACCGGTGTTAACATGTTCCCTGCCTAGAACGTAACAACAAATCTTCTGAAACATTTTGAATTGATAGTTACAGTGAACTTTAACGTATTAAACATATTCCCCATGCAATTTAACGCGTTATATATATGTCCAACGCGTTTAATATTTATAAAGGACATTGTATTTTTTTTAAAGCATTTTCATTTTCTAATTCATCAAATACTAACACATTATCATTGATCGTTTTTCACACGAACGGTAGTTCCTACCCTAGTACGCAGTATGTAAAATGCGACCATGAACATACATTTACAAGTTGATGTGTGTGTCCATATCCCTATTTCTCGATCTCTTTTAAACCTAAGTATGAACAGCGCTACCCTGAGTGGAATGTAAGTAAACAAACTATTAACTTCAGATACATGGAGTTGAGATCTTGTAGAGGCCTAAAAACTCCTCAAAGACTTATCAATTAACTATTATACCACGGCATGACAAGACAGCATTTTTCATCACACAAAAACACGAGGTTTACTCTAACAGTTGGTATTGCGTAATTATCGTAGATGAGGCTAAATTAGATTTAAATAGATCCTATCGCTAGATATGTAAACAACCCGTAAACACTTTCTCCTTAGTCAAATGTCTGTCGCACCTGACATGGTTACATTTGTTTGATGTGTGACTGGTAGCTTTGATCGCCGCCTGCTCCTATTACACACATATCACAGACTAAACACTGGACCGAGTACGTCACTAATCCCGAAACTGCTGCTGTGTGCAGAACTCCAGGCCAGTCTGCTCTATCTCTGCATTCATCGCTGTTATGTTTATCTAAGAACGCTAAGGATTATGGAATATACGGAATTGTAAACCCGTAATTCTTTGTTTACAATCGGTGTATACTTTATGCATTGTAGCATTTAAAATGACGCCAAGCAATTGCCGTTCCAGTCTAGAGTTGTTTACAATAACGCAATCAGGTTATAATACCTGTTCAAAACCCTGACCTTAGCCGCATTTTAAGAGTGACACTAAAACCAGGAACTAGAGCCCATTTTCCAACTTCCGGTTTCATATGATAGAAATGCATGGCAGGTGCATCAAATACGATATTAGAAGAACGATCAATTAAGAAACGGGTGTCAGAATCAGAATACATTAGTAACGAAATGCGGTTCCTTGCATATATACCCAAATTTCATTAGAAAATTTCCTGAATGCAATACAAGTATATGCCCTCATTTGAAATCGTTATGCAACATACAATAATATCCATGTGTTTGGTTTTGCAGCTAAAACTCAGACGTTCTGTGGTTTTGAGACAAAAGATGTTTGTGGATTTGTTCAAGAAAATACCACGGACGATTTTAATTGGGTGAGAGCACGTGTCCAGACGCCTTCTAGTGCTACAGGTCCTACGGGGGACCACACATGTGGGGCGAAAACGGGCGGTAAGTCATCCCTTCAACGTTATCCACTCTCTTTCCTATGTCAGATGTGATCATGACGTTCAATATAAATTATGATACGATCATGTGTTCAGGAATGAAATGGACGCAGTTACGTGTATGTGAAATTAAAGCGTTGGACAATTATCACATAACTGCATTAGAATGTCGATAGGCTGTGTAAAATTCTTACATAAGTTCGACTTTGTAGACCAAAAAATCAAAATGTTGATAATTTCAGCGTTTTTGATTTTATATTTATTTGTTTATATCTATCCACACTCTATCAATGCTACTGACTAGAGACCGGAACATGTTTCATAGCTTACCCCAGTTCCGTATAATGATAATGATTATAAAAGGCCCATTTCCTCTTAGTATTTATTAGTGATGAACAAAGCCGCCATGACCTGTACCTCCGCTATGTAATGAGTTCGATTACTTCTGTCAAGTTTACATGTGCGTGTTAGCACCAATCCTGACAGTAGTATACATCATGGGGTTGTATATATCATCACCTCCCCGCCACGCCACTGTAACAGACGGCTGGGGTTGATGTCTGTTTTATGTCCGACCTAAGTCAGTTACAAGCTAGTCCGTCATCATGATGAAATGTATCGCTCTTTTTTCATCAATTACTAGAGCAGATGTTGAATTCGACGCAAATATTCATTAAAAAAAGTCATCAATCCCGCTCTTCCTCATCTGATGAAAACAGACTATATACATTTTCAACTCTGTCAAAACCTGCTAGATCGTCTTCGTTCAGAACAAAAATTATCCTGAAGTTGTAGTTTAACCAAGCCCGGGGATCCTTGCTGTAAAAAGATCACCGTGCCTATCTGTGGCACATTAAGACTATGACAACCTCCGACGTGTATGCGACACCTGTTTGTACACAGGTTTTACGGTACACTGCGACACAGGTTGTTTAAAGTACATACATTAGGTAATCTACATTTTGTGATAAATGTACTCATAGTAGAGTTCCCACAATGGGGTCCCGTGACCATTTGTCCCAGACCAAGATTTGAAAGTTGATTTTGGTCATTGTGAGGTAGTCCGAATTATTCTGACGTTTTATCAACTTTTTTCATTGAGGGTGCTGATTGAAATGAGCTGGGGTGAAAACGTTAGACGCGAAAATTCAAAATGGCCGCCACCCGGCGTCCAGTATATCATAAAAATACATATCTTTGTTTTATATGATTTTTGGATCTAAATATATGTTTTGAGGGTCAGGGATTTCATTTATTAGCACAATAACTCGATAACAGTAAGTGTAAGAACGAAAAATGGTTTTTGTTTTATTATTATTATTTTGCTGTCAAAAACCAAGCTAACCGCCAGCTGACTGGAAAGGAAAAGACCAGGAAGACACCTTTAATTATTTGGATGCAAAGTTTTCATTTTTAACCATTGTAAACTAGATAAAATAACCATTGCAAGAAATGTTTGGTCAATGATTTTGTTCATTTCGTGTTAAACGTCTTGCAACAGCAAAACTCATATGATTAGTCTGGTTTGGTTTTAATTTGTTTAATGTCCTATTGACAGCTAAGGTCATTTAAGGACGTGCCTCCGTGTGTGTTGTTTAAGCATGCATGTGTTTTTGTGTGTGTTGGTGTACTTGCCTCCTTGTGATAGCTTGGATTTGATATAGTGCTATATCACTGAAATACCATGCCGAAGGCACCCAGCCCAGCATTCCGTCCGGTCACATTTTACTTACCATTGGTAAAGTAGTTGTTACCTTTCCCCTTAATGCTAAACGTTAAGCAGGAAATAACAACTGCATTTTTTAAGGCCTGGGGACAGAACCCATTGTCCTACGCACCTGGGCGAACGTTCAAAAGTGAGGTGTTGCCAAGCAATTTGGTTTGATTTGGATTAGTATTGTTTAACGTCCTATCAACAGCTATGGTCAATTAAGGACGGCCTCTCCTGTTTGCAAGATGCATGCGTGTAGTGTATGCGTGCAGTGTATGCGTGTGTGTTTTTGGAGACTGCGATATGTTCGTGTTTGTCTCCTTGTGATAGCCCGGAACTGATGCCGACTTTATAGTGCTACCTCACTGAAACATACTACCGAAGACACCCAGCAGGACACCCCAACCGGTAACATTATACTGACAACGGGCGAACCAGATAGAGGACACAAAAGCAAATCCCTAATGGTTCATACGAGGACGGGTGTTTAGGGAATCGCCGCCACAAACAACAAGTAGTTAAAAAGAAAGAAAACAGAAAAGATAGGAAGCGAGAAAACATCAAAGTGTTGTAAATGGGAAGCAGATTAATTTTGGTCTATGTTATATCCCCTTCGTAGAAGACCCCCCACCACACACACACACACACACACACACACACACACAATTATATAGGGCCCCACATTACATTAGTCTCATCTGATGGTCATGCGGTGGGATCCAGTAGACTTATTCTTTCCCCAACCTGCAAAGGCTGTTTGATCAATAAAACATGTAGACTTTCAGTCATCATCATCGTCTTTTCTAAGAGTCACTTCATGTAACTTTGTCATCATTACTTTTATCATCCTCATCAAAATCATCGTACAAGTATGTATACACTTCTGCCGTGGATCAGGGGTTGCATTTGGCTTGTTATGATTCAGTTGAATGTTAGGTTGGTAGTTTACTCGTGTCACATTCAGATTGTGAGAATCAAACTTTAGTGGGATTGGGCACTTCGACTTTTTTTCCATCTGACCCCACTTCAGTGCTCTGGTTTCACCTAAAGGTTTACTGATTTTATCATTGTAGATGTGTCCAATAGTGAATGTGGTTATTTGCTAAAGAACCTCTTGTGTCACTGGAAAAGCTTTGCAACGTCTTCCTAAAAATTGCGTGCCCCATGAGTTTTAGTTTCCCATATCCATTGAAGCCATCACATCTACTGTGGATATGTAATGGGATTAGGGTTTTAGCTACCTCTACAGAGCCAAGACCTCTGCAGCTAATGATTTTGTCCTTACGTTTGTTTGCAGGTGTGTCCTCAAGCTGTGCAGGTTTGGGGAAAATAGTGCTGAATCCCACTGCATGACCATCAGAGGCGATCGATGTGAGGGGGGTTGCAGAATTGGGGGGTCTCATCTGTGTCTTCNGAGGATATGGCAGAGACAAGAATTGATATGATTCCCCCATTACAACACTTCTAGTTCTCGTTTCATATCCTTTGTGCCTTTTTCTTTTCTAACGACTTGTTGTTTGTGGCGGCGATTCCCTAGGCACCTGTCCTCATATGATCTATTGGGGATCTGCCTTTGTGCCTTCTATTTGGGTACATAAAAGCGACCAAAATTAATCTGCTACATCCGTTGCAATGTTTGGGATCTGTATCATATTTCTTTATTCTAACAACCTAGCGCCTTGTTTGGCAACACCTCATTTTTTTTATTTAAACGCTGAACGTTCGCCCAGGTAAAAAAAAAAAAGGCAATTTGGGTCTGTCCCCAGGCCAGGACAAACCAAAATCCTTAAAAGTTGTAGTTGTAATTCCCTGATTAAGGTTCAGCATTGAGGGGAATGGAAACAACTGCTTCACCCTTGTCTGTACAATGTAACCGGACGGAATACTGTACTTGGTGCCTTCGACATGGTATTTCAGTGAGATAGCACTATAAAGTCGGCATCAGATCCGAGTTATCACAAGGAGGCAAGTACACCAACATACCCCGTCTCCGGCACACATACACACTTGCACATTTACAAAACACATATGGAGGCACGTCCTTAAATGACCTTAGCTTTTAATAGGACGTTAATTTAACATATGATTCTGGCTGATGCGAGAACGTTAAACACGAAATGAACAAAATCATTGCCAAACATTTCATACCATGGTTGTTTTATCTAGTTTACAATGGTTAAAGATGAAAACTTTGCATTCAAATAATTAAGTGAGTCTTCCTGGTCTTTTCTTCTGCATTCAGCTGGCGGTTAATCTGGTTTTTGGCAGCAAAATAATAATAATAATAATAATAATATTATAAAAAATGTCGTTCTAACACTTACTTTTATTGAGTTATTGTGCTAATAAATGAAATCCCTGACCCTCAAAACATATATTTAGACCCAAAAATCATATAAAACGGACATCTAGAAGCAATGATATGTATTTTTATGATATACATGTACTGGACACCGGGTGGCAGCCATTTTGAATTTTCGCGTTTGACCGAGTTAGCCCACGTTTTCATGAGGTTCAACCAAGCTCATTTTAATCAGCACCCCTCAAATTGACCAAATCAACTTCTAAACCTTGGTCTGGGAAAAATGGTCACTGGACCCCATTGTTGGAACTCTACTAGCATTGTTTATTGTACCCGATATTCATTGCATGATATGACATCTTTGTATTTTAGTTTCTCGGTGGGTTTTTGTTTATGGTACTGGCGTTTGTCATTGCTGAAATTGTTTGACTTTGTAAACTGTATGTGCTTTATTTTGATGCAATTTTTACATGTGTATTTTTTCTCGTTCATTTATCACAACCTCACAAACAGACCAAAGATACAATGCCTATGCAATCGGTTTGTTCACCAGCTGTTAATATACGTTATATATGTTGATATTGATAAATTCGCTCATTATTTATTTTCAGGACATTTTATGTATATAGAAGCTTCGGGACGACGCCCCGGTCAAACAGCTTCCCTGTTATCAGTAAAATATCGTTCGCTTACCATGCAGTGTGTGGAGTTCTATTACCATATGTACGGCAGGACCATGGGCACGCTTAACGTCTATACTAAGGTAATAATACCACAGAATTCTAGGCACGATTCACGTCTATACTAAGGTAATAATACCACAGATTTTTAAGCGCGCTTAACGTCTAAACTAAGGTAATAATACCACAGAGTTCTAGGCACGTTTAACGTCTATACTAAGGTATTAATACCACAGAATTCTATGCACGCTTAACGTCTATACTAAGGTAATAATACCACAGGATTCTAAGCACGCTTAACGTCTATACTAAGGTAATAATACCACAGGATTCTAAGCACGCTTAACGTCTATACTAAGGTAATAATACCACAGGATTCTAGGCACGCTTAACGTCTATACTAAGGTAATAATACCACAGGATTCTAAGCACGCTTAACGTCTATACTAAGGTAATAATACCACAGGATTCTAAGCGCGCTTAACGTCTATACTAAGGTAATAATACCACAGATATAACGGTACATATATACTTCCCGTTCAGAGAATATATATCCACAGGTACATTTCCATAATATACTAAGGTAATTCTACCACATAATTATAGGTATACCTAAGGTCTATTCTAAGTTAATACTAAAGAACAAAACGCACCATCATCATCATCATTCTTTATTTCTCAAAACTGAGAGTGGTATATAACAAAAAGGATAAGTTTTCATTGCAAAGCAGACTTTTGGCAATATAATGTACAAAACGTAATTATTTCATTTCTCCTTTAAGAAATAAACTTATTGACATTTGTCTTGTATTATTCACCGTCTATGGCCTTACAATTGTTTATGGCCTTACACCGTCTATGTCCTTACAATTGTTTATGGCCTTACACCGGCTATGGCCTTACAATTGTTTATGGCCTTCCACCGTCTATGGCCTTACAATTGTTTAAGGCCTTACACCGTCTATGGCCTTACAATTATTTATGGCCTTACACCGTCTATGGCCTTGCAATTGTTTATGGCCTTACACCGTCTATGACCTTACAATTGTTTATGGTCTTACACCGTCTATGGCCTTACAATTGTTTAAGGCCTTACACCGTCTATGGCCTTACAATTGTTTAAGGCCTTACACCGTCTATGGCCTTACAATTATTTATGGCCTTACACCGTCTATGGCCTTGCAATTGTTTATGGCCTTACACCGTCTAAGGCCTTACAATTGTTTATGGCCTTACATCGTCTATGGCCTTACAATTGTTTATGCCCTTACCCCGTCTATGGCCTTACAATTGTTTATGCCCTTACCCCGTCTATGGCCTTACAATTGTTTATGCCCTTACCCCGTCTATGGCCTTACAATTGTTTATGGCCTTCCACCGTCTATGGCCTTACAATTGTTTATAGCCTTACACCGTTTATGGCCTTACAATTGTTTATGGCCTTACACCGTCTATGGCCTTACAATTGTTTATGGCCTTACATCGTCTATGACCTCACAATTGTTTATGCAGCAATTGTATATTCAATCTATTTTTGAATTTACATTATATTGATTAACTAACTGGAATCAAAATATGTCTGTACTGCTTTCCCCAGAAAATAAGCGCTCTCTTTGGCAAATTCATCTTTCACACTTTTTTCAAAGTAATCTGGGTCTATGGCGCCTTTGAAAAAGGTTACAAAAATCTTCTTCTGTCTTTTGTGATAACAGGAGAAAAGGTTGAATACCGTAGAAGTTAATAAGTTTGTCCATGACAGTTTCTCTAAGAATGAACGTGACGTTACAGTCCGTGACAAAGTGTCTTGGAAAGGTTTCCCACATTTAGTGCAAATCTTATTTTGCTCTATGAATGGACACGTTATCATTTTACAAACATACGAAATTGCTCTTTTGTCCGTATTCTGTAAGTTCAACTTGAAATATGGTTGATAATATGTCATATGTACTGTTTTGTACTTGCATGGTTATTGCGTTTTTTATCGTTTCTCGCACTATATATTTCCAGACGCGACGTGTTAGGAAGTTTCCGTCCTCGACGTATTTTACTTTTTAAGACAAAAACTCGTATTTTCAATGGGTTTTTACAATATCTGGCACAAAGATTTTTTTTTTTTTAAGTCTACGAAAAAAAAAGTCTTTTGACACGCTATTTACAGTCAATTAGGTTGATTAGGAATTAGGAATATGGTCAATTAGGAATTATCAGAACAAACGGAAAAAACTTAACAAACGCTCAAACTAGAGGATTACTGTAGTTGAGCGACATTTCGGGATCAAAAGATTTTTTCTTCAATCCAACAAATTTTCATCGATGGATAATCTTTGAAAAATATTATGTCATTAAAGTCCTAGAAAAAACACCGAAAATATTGAATTAGCATACAAAACCTTAATACGATCTCAAACTCAATGAAATTAGGGCAAATAATGAACATATGAAAAAAACCTTGATGGAGACCTTTCAAAATTGTTGGGATATTAAGACCTGGTATTTCTGAAAGGATTGACGTCTTCCGTTTCATCGAGGACATCCACCATGTAAACATAGATCACGTCCAAGTTATGTCACGTCATTAAAGTGGGAAATGGAGAACGACATTAAAACCAAACGGCACACACATGGAAATAATCGAAAAAAAATAGTAATACTGGGGATTGGCACTGTGACAAACATCTTGATGGCTTCTTTCAAATCCAGAAGAATATGCCGATCAGCAACAATCTAAAACAGTAAAATGGTGTCAACTTATGAAAGACACTGAACGATCATAGAAAGAATTCGAGTGATAATTATCTAACGGTTAGAAGTGGTGCAATAATGCTGATGTTTTCCACAAAAAATAACAAATCCGTTGTCGGACAAAGCTATTGATCATTCGGACTAAACACTAACATCTGTGCATTTTTTGTTCTTGCAGAAAGTTTTCAGAATGGCCATGATTCATTTCCATTTTTCTGGGAATATTATTTTTCAGTCAAGAAAGTGATTAAAATTATTGACAAATATTTATAAAAAAAAAAAAAAAAACAACCTATATACCCGTAACACAAATCCTTGCACCAGTAACAGCTGAGTTAAATAACGATTGCAGTTTTTGAGTAATTAGATTCTGCCACTATTCCGTCTTCGCGTATTGCAGTTATCTTCTGTTGGGAGCAGGTATTGATTGTTACGTCACTTGTTTGTGAGAATAACGTCATCATTTTTTGAGAAAACGACGTAATTTTCTCACACAGGCCAATGACGTAGCAATCAATACCTGCTCCCAAGAGAAGATAACTCTGCAATACGCAAAGACGGAATAACAGGAGAGGTAGTTACAAACAGGGGATGAGATTTATCACAGACATCAGTATAGCAGGCAAACATCAATGTTGTATATCACTGGCAACGTTTACTGTGAAAAGGTCATATCTAACTGGTTCAGCATGTCTAAATATATAACTGCACGCGTCAGGTGTGTCAATTTAATTTCCCAATGGTGCGATAATATATATAGAAGTTTATATACAACCGTGTAGTGTATTAGAATCGTGGATGTTTAAAGATTTGTAGAAAAAATGAATGTCTCCTTACTGTATTAATGTGGAACTACAAACGAGTATTCTGTTGATACACGATGGTTGTTGTAAAGTACCAGCTGTATGGTCCCTAGAGTTTAGGTGTGTATTTTTTTAGAACCAAAGATAAGCATGCCGTGGTTTTTTTTAAACGAACTGTATGCCTGATAGAGCAAGAGCTCCTGCTTTGGGTTTTTTTAAATACCGACTTAAAATAGAAATGTAACATACTGAATCTCTATATGTTTTACGTAAAATAGAAATGTAACATACTGAATCTCTATGTTTTACGTAAAATAGAAATGTAACAAACCAAATCTCTATATGTTTTGAGGGTTGTTAAGCTTCTTTTCCCGAATCACTTTTAAAGATTGTTCTGATAGTTTATAAATGATACGGTCATCAACTTCGGAAATACAAATGCTTAATGTGAAAATATTATGTCATTATAAATTGGGTGAACATTTTAAGGTTTTACTTAAAGGTGTTAAAACATATTTACATTTACCAGTGTAATATTGAATAAAACATATTCTGAAACATACCTGTAGCTGTAGATACCATAGTTATTCAAGAAAGAGTCATACATACTTAGCATGAGGTTCAATGTGTCATAGAAAATGTAGGTGTACGTAAATATCTCGAAACAATTTGCAAATGATCCAATTGATTTATAAGTTCATTTATTTAACATATTGATAGCCGATGAACACAAAATCAGGACAATAATAATTGAGCCAAGCAGTACAAGACAGATGTAGAGACAGGACAGATGTAGAGACAAGACAGCTGTAGAGACAAGACAGATGTAGAGACAAGACAGATGCAGAGACAGGACAGATGTAGAGACAAGACAGAGGTAGAGACAAGACAGATGTAGAGACAGACAAGACAGATACAAGACAGATGTAGAGACAGGACAGATGTAGAAACAAGACAGATGTAGAGACAAGACAGATGTAGAATCATGACTGATGTAGAGACAAGACAGATGTAGAGACAGACAGGACAGATGTAGAGACCAGACAGATGTAGAGACAAGACAGATGTAGAGACCAGAAAGATGTAGAGATAGGACAGATGTAGAGACAGACAGGACAGATGAAGAGACAAGACAGATGTAGAGACAAGACAGAAGTAGAGACAGACCAGACAGATGTAGAGACAAGACAGATGTAGAGAGAAGACAGATGTAGAAACAGGACAGATGTAGAGACAGACAAGACAGATGCAGAGACAAGACAGATGTAGAGACAGACAGATGTAGAGACAGAATATCTCGAAACAATTTGCAAATGATCCAATTGATTTATAAGTTCATTTATTTAACATATTGATAGCCGATGAACACAAAATCAGGACAATAGTAATTGAGCCAAGCAGTACAAGACAGATGTAGAGACAGGACAGATGTAGGGACAAGACAGATGTAGAGACAGACAGATGTAGAGACATTTATAAGTTCATTTATTTAACATATTGATAGCCGATGAACACAAAATCAGGACAATAGTAATTGAGCCAAGCAGTACAAGACAGATGTAGAGACAGGCCAGATGTAGAGACAAGACAGATGTAGAGACACAGATGTAGAGACAAGACAGATGTAGAGACAGGACAGATATAGAGACAGACAGATGTAGAGACAGGACAGATGTAGAGGTGAACACAAAATCAGGACAATAATAATTGAGCCAAGCAGTACAAGACAGATGTAGAGACAGGCCAGATGTAGAGACAAGACAGATGTAGAGACAGACCAGACAGATGTAGAGACAAGACAGATGTAGAATCAAGACAGATGTAGAGACAAGACAGATGTAGAGACAACACAGATGTAGAGACAAGACAGATGTAGAGACAATACAGATGTAGAGACAAGACAGATGTAGAGACCAGAAAGATGTAGAGATAGGACAGATGTAGAGACAGACAGGACAGATGAAGAGACAAGACAGATGTAGAGACAGACAGATGTAAAGACAAGACAGATGTAGAGACAGGACAAATGTAGAGACAGACAAGACAGATGTAGAGACAGACAGATGTAGAGACATTTATAAGTTCATTTATTTAACATATTGATAGCCGATGAACACAAAATCAGGACAATAATAATTGAGCCAAGCAGTCCAAGACAGATGTAGAGACAGGACAGATGTAGAAACAAGACAGATGTAGAGACAAGACAGATGTAAAGACAAGACAGATGTAGAGACAGGACAAATGTAGAGACAGACAAGACAGATGTAGAGACAGGACAGATGTAGAAACAAGACAGATGTAGAGACAAGACAGATGTAAAGACAGACAAGACAGATGTAGAGACAAGACAGATGTATAGACAGGACAGATGTAGAGAGACAATACAGATGTAGAGACAAGACAGATGTAGAGACCAGAAAGATGTAGAGATAGGACAGATGTAGAGACAGACAGGACAGATGAAGAGACAGACAGGACAGATGTAGAGACAAGACAGATGAAGAGACAAGACAGATGTAGAGACAGACAGATGGAGAGACAGACAGAGGTAGAGACAGACAGATGTAGAGACAAGACAGTTGTAGAGACAGGACAGATGTAGAGACAAGACGGATGTAGAGACAAGACAGATGTAGAGACAAGAAAGATGTAGAGATAGGACAGAGACAAGACAGATGTAGAGACAGGACAGATATAGAGACAGACAGATGTAGAGACAAGACAGATGCAGAGACAAGACAGATGTAGAGACAGACAGATGGAGAGACAGACAGAGGTAGAGACAGACAGATGTAGAGACAAGACAGTTGTAGAGACAGGACAGATGTAGAGACAAGACACATGTAGAGACAAGAAAGATGTAGAGATAGGACAGATGTAAGACAGACAGATGTAGAGACAAGACAGATGTAGAGACACGACAGATGTAGAGACAAGACAGATGTAGAGAAAGACAAGACAGATGTAGAGACAAGCCAGATGTAGAGACAGACAGGACAGATGTAGAGACAAGACACATGTAGAGACAAGAAAGATGTAGAGATAGGACAGATGTAGAGACAGACAGGACAGATGTAGAGATAGGACAGATGTAGAGACAAGACAGATGTAGAGACAGAAAGGACAGATGTAGAGACAGGACAGATGTAGAAACAAGACAGATGTAGAGACAAGACAGATGTATAGACAGGACAGATGTAGAGAGACAATACAGATGTAGAGACAAGACAGATGTAGAGACAACACAGATGTAGAGACAAGACAGATGTAGAGACACAGATGTAGAGACAAGACAGATGTAGAGACCAGAAAGATGTAGAGATAGGACAGATGTAGAGACAGACAGGACAGATGAAGAGACAGACAGATGTAGAGACAGGACAGATGTAGAGCCAGACAGATGTAGAGACAAGACAGATGTAGAGACAAGAAAGATGTAGAGATAGGACAGATGTAGAGACAAGACAGATGTAGAGACAGACAAGACAGATGTAGAGACAAGACAGATGTAGAGACAGGACAGATGTAGAGACAAGACAGATGTAGAGACAAGACAGATGTAGAGACAGGACAGATGTAGAGACAGACAAGACAGATGTAGAGACAAGACAGATGTAGATACAGACAGGACAGATGTAGAGACAGGATAGATGTAGAGACAGGACAGATGTAGAGACAGACAGATGTAGAGACATACAGATGTAGAGACAGACAGATGTAGAGACAGAAAGATGTAGAGACAAGACAGATGTAGAGACGGGACAGATGTAGAGACAAGACAGATGTAGAAACAAGACAGATGTAGAGACAAGACAGAAGTAGAGACAGACCAGACAGATGTAGAGACAAGACAGATGTAGAGACGGGACAGATGTAGAGACAAGACAGATGTAGATACAGACAGACAGATGTAGAGACAGGACAGATGGAGAGGCAGACAAGACAGATGTAGAGACAAGACAGGACAGATGTAGAGACAGACAGATGGAGAGACAGACAGATGTAGAGACAAGACAGTTGTAGAGACAGACAAGACAGATGTAGAGACAGGACAGACGTAGAGACAGACAGGACAGATGTAGAGACAGGACAGATATAGAGACAGGACAGATGTAGAGACAGACAGTTGTAGAGACAAGACAGATGTAGAGACAGACAAGACAGGTGTAGAGACAAGACAGATGTAGAGACAGACAAGACAGGTGTAGAGACAAGACAGATGTAGAGACAGACAGATGGAGAGACAGACAGATGTAGAGACAAGACAGTTGTAGAGACAGACAAGACAGATGTAGAGACAGGACAGACGTAGAGACAGACAGGACAGATGTAGAGACAGGACAGATATAGAGACAGGACAGATGTAGAGACAGACAAGACAGATGAAGAGACAAGACAGATGTAGAGACGGGACAGATGTAGAGACAAGACAGATGTAGAGACGGGACAGATGTAGAGACAAGACAGATGTAGAGACAGGCAAGACAGATGTAGAGACAAGACAGATGTATAGACAGACAAGACAGATGTAGAATCAAGACAGATGTAGAGACAAGACAGATGTAGAAACAAGACAGATGTAGAGACAAGACAGAAGTAGAGACAGACCAGACAGATGTAGAGACAAGACAGATGTAGATACAGACAGATGTAGAGACAAGACAGATGTAGAGACGGGACAGATGTAGAGACAAGACAGATGTAGAAACAAGACAGATGTAGAGACAAGACAGAAGTAGAGACAGACCAGACAGATGTAGAGACAAGACAGATGTAGATACAGACAGGACAGATGTAGAGACAGACAGATGTAGAGACAAGACAGATGTAGAGACAAGACAGATGTAGAGACGGGACAGATGTAGAGACAAGACAGTATGTTCAACAAAGACGTACAAAAAGGCAACAGACCTAAGAATGAAATATTAAATATGTAAGATCGTTGAATCCACCGTCTTATACAATTATACAATGCTATCCAGAAGTGATTCATTGAATTCGCTTAGTGGGTAAAAATTGTGTTAAAACAGCTATTTCTACGGAATATGAATGCTTTAATTTTAATTTGTCTAATGTTATTTGTAATTTTAACAGACAGAATCCGTAGAAGACACGCGGGCGGTGTGGAGGACACATGGTAACCAAGGTGACACGTGGATTCTTGCGCGGTTGGTGATACCGGAACAACTCGCTCGAATCGGTTATCAGGTGAAACACTTGAATTATATGATATACATTAGTTTCCCCACTTTCAAAAACAATTTTCAAACCGATCTGTAATGTGGAAACGTGTTAGTACATGGGACAGTCGTAGTTCTCCGCTGATTCTAGGCAATGCTTTGAAGTATATAAAGCGTCAGTTATTTTTCCAGTATCAAAGAAGTGCTAACAGTGAAAAGGTTTGGGATAAAAATATGCTCATAATAACTAACAATTTTGGACTTGGATCGGGCTAATAATTTGTAAGTCAGTAAACAAGCATCGGGCAACTATCACCTGCCAAGCTATTTTGGCGGAATTGGATTCTAGAGGGTATCAAAATGCATTAACATTGATTCAAATGTACATGTAAATTTATGTGCGGTTGTTAAGGTGGAATATATAATACAGGTTACACATATTGGGATCTATATATATTACAAAGATAGTTTAGTGTGTTAAAGTGTTGTATATGTAGTTAAACCACACGTGCCATACATAACCATATTTTGCTGTTCCAGGCACATAACAAGCAGAATGCCACATAAATACCTTTCTACTCCATGCTTGCACCATACAACACCTGTCCTTGTTATAACAAGAAAGATGCAAAACTTCTTTCGTTTTTGTGATAGCATCAGAAAAACAGAGTATTTAACATGACTGCATCTGTTACAGATTGTGTTTGAGGGGATAATTGGGCGTGGTTACCAAGGCGACATGGCTATAGACGACATCAAAGTCACGGACGGCGTGTGTCCCACGGACAATCGCGCAGTCGCTGTCCCAATTCTGCCACCTGATATCGATGTGACTCCGTCTCCGAATGCGACCGAAACAGATAACACGAGGCGATTCCGGAGGCTAAAACGAATATTCCGGACCAGAAGGAGGCGGAGAATGACTCCTCCGCCTGCAGCACGGAGCCCTTTTGGCTGGACCACGTCTACACCGTCGCCATGACAGTACTGAGAGTGTCATACCATCAGGTGTATCAACGCGAAAGAGAAGTAATACTAACCGATAAGCAAGAACTCCGTATATGGATAGAGCAGCTGACAAGATTTGCTCATGCTCCTACAGTATACGGCGAGCACAGATTCGGTACAATGTATTTCTATAAGAATGTCTCTGTACGTTTTGAAATCATAGTAGTGATTTAATGGGCTCTTCAGACGAATATAGCCAACAGTTTAAACATATGGGTTGTTATTTGATCAATTGTACTGGGATGGATACTGTCACAGAAACAAAGTGTTGTGCGAACATCAGCTGGACCGTTTTGTCTTACAAGAGGATTTAAACATTTGTTGCTTTTGTCGTTGATTTTAATAATGGTAAGATAGGTTTCCTGTGTGACCAATGGGTAAAACGAGCTTTTCAATATATTTCTTTGAGCATATGTTTATCAGATTTCCTTATTTACAGTCACCTTATTTTAATGACGTTTAATTACGTGAATGTGTTTCACGTTCTCTTGAATCTTGATTCGCTGAAGAACACTACAGATCAGAGCTGTTAATGTTGTTTAAAGGTGCCTATATTAATATTAAAGAGATTATATTTTTGATCATAACGAAATCATAAAGCTCGAGAGAAATTACAGAAATTGGATTGTTTTGTCTATGTTCTCGAGTAAGATAGTGCAATACAACGAAAGTAAACAACCATGGACCAAGACATGGAAAAGGAAAACATAGACACTCTACAATGCATATTTAAAACATATAAACTACCGTTATACAAAGGAATTATTAAGACTGTAATACATTAGCGTTAAATACTCGTATACAGAAAAACAACGAAATGTGTTGGTTTTGTAATAAATTTGTGTATCAATTATTTTTTGAGTGATGTGTTTCAAAATGTAAAATAAATGTCAGTGACCGTACGCGTCCAATTATCTTATTGAGTGAGCCACTTATCAAAAGAACTCGCTTATAGTCGAAATAAAGGCTGCGTGTTTGGAAACGTCTTACCATTTTGTGACAAAACTGCAGTAACTATCATTGTCAACATGCAAATCACAAGGAATATCGTACAGGAAAAATATCATAAACAAGAAAGACTCGATGCCAAGTAATCTTATCAGTGGAAACCATGTAATCACTGTGACACTAAATTTCTTCAGTAAACTAAAGTAGATGTAACAAGGAAGTGTCGTAGAATGCAACATAGGAAATCATCCTAATAGCGAATAGCGAATCAACCGTGACAACCAAGGCAGATTCGTTTGAACTACAGAGGAAAGGAAAGCTGATGTTGGGTCCTTTATAATAATAATACTGTCCGACTTCCTTAGTATTTGTCATGTTGCAGAAAAATATCAAGATATGAGCTAACGAAGGGTAGCATCTGTTGTCTTCAATCTTGGTGCATAAAGCGCTCATATTTAACGATCGAGCAAGCACCTTATCCTCTTTGAATGATAGTGTTTGCATTGGAATACAAAAAAAATAAAGTGCGCGATTAATTAAAGTATTTCCCAAATTCACTAAAGAAATAGTTAAAAAGATTAACAACTTCATCATCTGCATATTTTATCTTACCAGTGGTGTGATGTTTAACCAGATAAGTTTCATGTTTCTCAGATTTAGATTAAAGGACAAAGACTGATATACCATTTCAGAGGTGATCCTAACAAACACACACGGGACGGCACCTTAAAGCTTGGTAATAGACACAGTTTAAAGCTTGGTAATAGACACAGTTTGCCAACATAAACGACACTGAACCATACAGCTGTTTCGTCCTTCTAGGAATCAACAGTGATGCTAGGGGCCGAAAGGTTGGAAATACAAATCGATCTCAACTGCTGTTGAAACAGAAGGGGAGGTGCGTAAAAAAATCTTAACTAATTTAATTGAATTTCAAAAACTAGAAGAGTACTGGTTAATATCAAATAAGTAATAACAAGTAAAGTGTGTATACAAAAAAACGTACCACTACTCGAATGAGATAACTGTGGCCATCAAGGTTTACGGCAAACCGTGGGGACTAGGAAACCACCAACAGAGTCTACCACTTTATATCTTTAAAAATTAAAATGACACATACAAATGTACCTGGAACTGCACCTGTCTTGATTTGAGTTGAACATAAGTATTATCACACAGTTCGTGTTGAGAAGCATTTAAACGCTATATTTTTACAATGACTGCGTGAAAGGTTCTGCTTAAATTCTTTTAACAAATTTCTAAATTGACCTAAGCGTGTTTGAAGTCCGTATTTTACTATGGTAAGTTTAAATTCATAGCTGCGCATATATATACTATATAAATAGTTATCTCCCATGCGGCGAACACTCCAAGTATTAACATCGCCATATAGATATCCAGTGGCTGATTCGATAAGTATTTTTATGTGGGGGTTAAGAGTATAGAGAGTCTTTTTATCAACAAGGTACGTTGGGCTGATTTTTGCCATTTCGTCGTTTCGTCTTTTCGCCAAGAAAAACGAGATCTAATCATTTTTAATACACGTTCTTTCGTCTTTTGGTGACGAAACATTCATTCTCGTGTTTTCCTGTCGAATGAACGAGAATTAAGCTTTATTAATTCTGAAATTTTTGCCCCAGCAAAGTAACTCAAACCTAGAAATAAAATATAATTTTAGATGTCTCATTTAGAAATTCAACCCATTTATAAAGGTTTATAAGCTGAAGTTCTTATCGATTTGCCTATTTGTTAAGGTCCAAGAAAAACGAAACAGCAGTATGATGAAGAATAATTAATCTAAATTAGCATAAAGTTCTAAAGGTGCAATCACCTGTGTTTGTGTGCTGCGTTCATCGTTCTGTCAAAATCAATAATTTAATCCTTAAGGATTTGGAACTGTAGCTTCTATTTGATGGTACCTCTCGATAGATTGGGCATTTGGCATATTAACCTCAAAGCCTGATGTTGTCAACAATTGAGGACATCTGTCATGTCATGACAAACCGATTTGTGACAAAAAGAAAGATAAAAACAAGAACAATGAAGTGGAGTGGTTCTTGACATACGTATAAGATGTTTTTATAGCATCATTTAATGGTGAAAATATATATGCAATATAGTATTAATAGGCGTATAGGCAATGGCTAGTGAACTCGCATACTCAGGTACACTGGAATATTTGCACGAACTGATTTCGATGTAAGATGTTATTTATGTTGATTGCGTCTAGTCTTTAAAAGGAAAATCAAACCGGATAACTTTGAATCCTCAAGTCTAGAGGAAAAGGTTATCGGTCTGAACTGGGTTGAACAACCTAAGATTGACAACATCTTTGATAATATCGCAAAGTGTATCTTCAGGTGAATTATTCCCATCAGCACATACCGACATCCAACAGTTCAGTATTGAGTGTGACGCATGTCTTATGGCCAGGTTCCCGTAAGCTGTCAAATGTTATTTATGTTATAAATGTCAGAGTCAATTAGTTACCTTGCTCTGTTTAGTGCATTATGGTCTCGTAGTGTTGAGAGATGAAAGTTACCGAAGACATAGAGAAGAGCATTAATTGAATACTTTGTGCCCATACTTCCCTTAAATAAGAACAATGATATTTTATTGCATTATTTTACTTCGCGAATATTACCCAAAAATTAAAAAGGAATGCAAAAATAACTGTTTGTTGTCGTCTACGTAAAAACCATTACCCGTTTTTCTACATAGTCGGAATACTTCAGACTTTCATTTTCATATTTTACCTTAAATACCAGTGCTGCTCTCTAAATGAGAAGAATTAGTTTCCAGTGACACAAGCGCAGTCATGTTCATCGCTGTTATACACATCCTGTGTAACATAATACTATGGATATTAATGCTAGAAATACGAAGTATTAAAGAACATATATTTGCAAAAAAAAATCTCGATGCAGAAAGCAAAACAATGAAAACATTTCATTGCACCGTGTGGCAAGTTCTTCCAGTTAGTTACATAGTCGGGGCTAGAAATATGTCTGCGCTACCAACATCAACACGGAGCAGCAATGAGCAACAACCAAAGATAGTACACCTCAGGTTGTCTACAAAAAGGGGTATTCAAATTGAGACCGTTTGAGGAATGATGCCTTTCTGTAAACTACGGAGCTTTATGGATAGCATCGAATGATCTTGGAGACAAACATATTGATACGGGGTTAGATATATTGTTTGCTATTTTGTTTTATCTCAATCCGATGCCTGTTATGTGTATCCAGTTATTAAATTAGTTTCAACCACACCAACAAGCCGACTGATAGGAGGACACCCGATACCATAGTCAAAGTGACATGTTTTGCATGACAGACTCTCGTAACTACGGGTAGTATTGGTTTTTCATCTGCAATGAGTATAATACATGTCTCACACTTCTGTCTGATGTGTGGTGACCAGCATGGCTGCTGTGTTCTAACTCACACTTCTGTCGGATGTGTGGTGACCAGCATGGCTGCGGTGTTCTAACTCACACTTCTGTCTGATGTGTGGTGACCAGCAGGGCTACTGTGTTCTAACTCACACTTCTGTCTGATGTGTGGTGACCAGCATGTCTGCTGTGTTCTAACTCACACTTCTGCCTGATGTGTGGTGACCACACCTCTGCTGTGTTCTAACTCACACTTCTGTCTGATGTTTGGTGACCAGCAGGGCTGCTGTGCTCTAACTCACACTTCTGTCTGATGTGTGGTGACCAGCGTGGCTGCTGTGTTCTAACTCACACTTCTGCCTGATGTGTGGTGCCCACACGTCTGCTGTGTTCTAACTCACACTTCTGTCTGATGGGTGGAGACCAGCAGGGCTACTGTGTTCTAACTCACACTTCTGTCTGATGTGTGGTGACCAGCGTGGCTGCTGTGTTCTAACTCACACTTCTGCCTGATGTGTGGTGCCCACACGTCTGCTGTGTTCTAACTCACACTTCTGTCTGATGGGTGGAGACCAGCAGGGCTACTGTGTTCTAACTCACACTTCTGTCTGATGTGTGGTGACCAGCATGGCTGCTGTGTTCTAACTCACACGTCTGTCTGTTGTGTGGTGACCAGCAGGGCTGCTGTGTTCTAACTCACATGTATGTCTGATGTGTGGTGACCAGCATGGTTGCTGTGTTCTTAACGCATTCAAAGTCCAATGGTACCAAACGGTAGCAAATGCTGCACTTCAGTCGAACAGGTTCGGAATCTGGATATTGAAACTGTTTCTCACTCGCCAAGAGACTATCTATATGGTCATCAGGATGTGTTACGCAAATGTTCTTATACCGTATAGATTTTTACCAAGTAAGATGACAACCGGATTCATTATATTTTACCAATACAACACATTGGAATTGCTTTGTTTACACATATAGATAACACGAAACCACCATCATTGTATTTTGTATACTATACAGATATGGCCATATACATCCTAGATATCCAGGGGTTACGCTCACTTTCGCTCTCTACACCCCTGGAAATGTCATAGCAGTATTGAAGGCTCAGTGTGTACCACCTTGTTGATCAGACAAGAAGACTAGCTCGATCCTTTGATAAACATCAAAAGAATCTCGCGGTCACGTAACGGTAAAACTTGACAGGCTTTGAACTCGGGCGTCCCTTCTTTGTAATCATCAAAGGACAGGCATCAGCCTAGCTATTGGTCAGGTTTTTTTTTTACCTGAGAATCAAACAGCTATCTTCGTGCCTTCAATTCTGCTATGACACCAGGGATGCAGAGAGCGAAAGTGAGCGTAACCCCTGGGTATCGAGGATGGGCCATATATTACATCGACGAACATGCAAAGTACAATCATAATTGTTGGTTTCTATTGCTTTGTGTCTTATACATTTGCAACTGCATAATATGAAAGAATGACATTATCTTTTTAGATAATTGATTTTAAAGTAAATATGTTAAGGTGGAATAGGGTATAAGTATATAAGAAAATTTGGACTTCGTGATACAATTACAGTTTTAAGAGAACAAAAAAAAAAGATTTTGCAAAGAGAAAAACTCAGGGAACCCTTAAGAACTACAAGATGCGTTGTGAATTTATAACCCAGCAAACGAGCAAATCAGCTTTCCATATTAAACACCGTACAGAGTTTTTGCAACTGTTTTACATGCACACCCGTGTGATAATGAAAGGATGTCAATTCACAGGCATGCTTAGTTGCGCGATCTTCTCCCCATGTTACGCATTATTACATTTGATCAGTAAGACATGAACTCAAAATCGTTCTGAATTCCCCAGACGTGTAGTATCTGTCGCCTGGATATATACCAGCGCCTTTACCAACGCCCTCATTGAAGTAATTTATTCCCTTAACTTCAGCAATGCTTTCTGTATGTAAAATTTAGAAAACACCATTACAAATGTTAGTGGTATTTGGGATTTCCCGGTGATCGGGTTGTAAATTGACTGACAGCTACTCGGAGGTAAATACTGCTATTGACTACTCCGAAGGTTTTTCTCCGGTCGCTTCATAAATTCTGCAAAGTGACTTCAAGCTCTTTCGAATACAAGCAATTTTCAGACCATGAAATACAACGTTCTGTATTGCGCATGTGCAATACGGAATGTTGTATTTACCTACTAGCCGGAACTACTTTTTATGGGAATCCCCTTGTCATGTCGAACTGAAAAGTTCCCGGTATTTGCAAAAAATATCAAAGTTTATAAAATCTTTGTATCGATCTCTACCAAATTACGGAAGGTATGTGATAAAAGCAAGACCACACATTTATTGCGCGGACGTATATATTCACTCGGTGCGCTCCGCGCACTCGTGAATATATTCGTCCGCGCAATAAACACGTGCTTTCCGATTCGTTAGAAAAATACAAGTGTGTGGTCTTGCACTTTATTTCCCCGATGGTCATTTCATATTCGATTCATTTTAAGCTTTGGCTTTACCAGACCATATTCCATCATGTGTTCCAAAATGGGTTTATCGTTAACCGGCCTAAAAGCGAAACAGATGTTAATTTCCAGATTTTACTAACAATATTTGTTTCACGTCTCTTTTAGATACATGTTATTGTCGTAGATAATGCTTTAGTTTGTACAGCAGCCGTGGACCAATGTCAAGGTTGCCTCCCTTAGATCTCTAAGTCTCATTAAAGATGACTCCACTTTCCCAATACATCTTTCATTGTTCTTAATTAGTCATCAGACCTAATTATTAGATATCGGAGACATCCCCATTCAGCCAAAAGTGTTTGTTACTGCGCAGTGCAACTTATGTTAATCCATGCCGTAACTGCCGAAAAGCAGCGACCGAGACTCATCTCTAAGGGGAAGGTACTGGAAGGGTTAATAAGCATCCTTTCCTAAGGAGGACTAGTAGAGATGTGTCTGATGGCTATTTTCTCGTTAGATTATAAGTTTTTTGTATATTTTCTTATAAACGATTTGTGTACGTGAAAGAAAACTAAATTTGAATTTGGGTTTATTCACACGAATACGGATAAGGAGACTACTATACATGTAAGTGAAGCCTGAAGGCACCGGAACAAATTAAAGCTCATGATCAGCTACATGTCTCTGCGTTTTTCGAGACCAAGAGTATTGTTGTTTTCTAATGTTTTTATCTGAGTGATAATATTTTATTTTATTGTGATTTGCCATACATTCTTATTTTTTTACTTTTTTTCCTGTCGCTTGGTACGCCCCTGCTAATGGTATACTTAAAACTTGGGCTTTACTGATTTCTGTTAAACGATGATATTTTAGCATTTAAGTAAAGCAATGTATTTGTCAGAAGTCTCTGACTTTACCAATGCTACTAATATAGGTAACACGTCATCAAAATGAGAGTCCGTAAAACCTATGAACGACTTGACAATAGAAGATACATTTAAAGCCAGATGCATGTTTGTATATGTTAATTTGCGTCTCTGTTTTAGTTGCCTCAACTTCTACATAAATGGAAGAATTAATTAGGGGTTAATAGAAAATTTGATCAAATGTTGCAAATCGGGACTATGAATATTACATGTATAAAGGGAAGTAACTCTCACGAATATTGTGTGATCAGGCAACTCGGAAGTGCTATATTTGCAAAGTCAAGGTCGTCCTTGCCGGTACAGCTGAAGGTCGATCGGACGAACATCCATCACAGGCAAGATGACTACCAAGTACACGATCGTATTTGTGAGGCACGGAGAAAGTGAATGGAACAAATTAAACAAATTCTGTGGATGGTTTGATGCAGATTTGTCAGAGCAGGGATGCGAGGAGGCAAAGAATGCCGGAAAGGTAAGCTTCTGATCAGCCGAGGTGCTGCATTTTCATCTTACTGCTCGGTGAAATGTGACAAGTATCACGTTTCATGGTCTTGTAATATTGGCAAAGTATATGAGAGTTTACCGTCATGTATTGTACTAAAATGATATTAATTACTGTAATACCCCAACTTACGGGAAAGTATTTATATAGGATAAAATAAGGTCACTGACCCACAGATAAACAGAAAAAGAAATTTTCAACAAGTGATAGAATGTTTATTAAATATAACTTGTAATGTAGTAACTGAGAGCTTGTGATATTGTAGATCAAGACTTGCTGTTAATATCATCAGAGGATATTGTAATAAGAATTCTTTTCTGAAATGCTTACACTAAATTATAAGTTGTTCTAAGTTAAACATGCATGTATTTCACATTAAATGGATTGTGGAAATCGAGAAGTGTTTGATGTTATTCCTGTTGTTACAGATGTTGCAGGAGAAGGGGTTTGTGTTTGATGTAGCCTTCACCAGTGTGTTGAAGCGAGCGATAAAGACCCTGTACATGGTGCAGAATGAGATGGACAACCACTGGATCCCTGTCACCAGGCACTGGAGGCTGAACGAGCGTCACTATGGAGGTCTGCAGGGCCTCAACAAGGCAGAGACAGCCGCCAAACATGGTGAAGCACAAGTCAAGGTGCAAATTTATAAAAGCTTGTTGTTCACAGTCTTGGTCTTAATTGAAGAAGATGACCCTGATCCTTTAAAAAAACATTTGGAATAGGACATCCTTGTTGGGGGATTGGTTGTACTTTGTTGGGTTGGTGACTGATGATAAGAGGGATTGGATGTCCTTAGGTATATTGGAGTGATGTGTCTTTATGTTGGGATGGGGTGTCGATTCTTATATATATATGGCCATGGGATATCTTATGTGGGGATGGGGTGTCGGTATGATGGGGTGTCGATATGATGGGACGGGAGGTCTTCATGTTGGAGTAGCATATACCCTCGTGTTGGGTAGGGTGTTGTTGTGGTGGGTTGGGTGAAGACAACTATATCAGTGCAGACTGTAAATCAATAAAAGTCATGATCGGAAACATTCCTTAAACTAAAGAGAGGGAGAAGAACTCTGAAGAAATAGATTCACCGTGAAAAGTGGCATTTGAAAATTGTTTGAGATTTAAGTAAGGTTAATTTAATTATTGACTTAATGGTGACTATAGCATATACCTGTATAAGCATGCAAAACCTCTTTTAGGTTTATGACTGCATTTAATATATCTTTGATTTTAACCTTTTGTTTTATGCATGTTATTTCAGATTTGGAGGCGATCATATGATGTTCCCCCTCCAGCCTTGGAGGATGGAGATGACAGGCTTTCGTCCACCGACCCAAAATACTCTGTATGTGCTTAAATTACTTCTTTAAAAAATCATATTTTTAATGTCTTTTCAAGTAACATATCTTTGAAGGGGAAATGTATACCTCGTGTGTTGTAATAAAAAAATATAAAGAAGAGAAATGTGTAACTATAGTAAGATGTAGGGATCGAGAGAAGAAGAATTAAAATATATTCGAGTTTCATGTCCAACTTGTTTGGCCCCTGTTTGGTGCTTCATTATAACAAGTTTATCTTTGAAGTACACAAATGATCAGATTGTGTCTCATTAGTATATATCTTGGACAGTATCATCGGTGCATGCTTGTGATACATACCCATTACCGATACATTAACAAGTCAATGGAGATCAAAATATGTTAGAAGAGAAATATATCAAAATACTGTGTATGTATAAATTTGTTACACAAGTGTGAATCAGTAGAATCATTTTTTACCATTTGCAATTTTATTTTGAAAAAAACATATTCAAATATGGTTAGTTGATGGTTATGGTTACAATGATTTTTATAATTTTATATTTCAGCACTTGGATGCATCGGTTGTTCCCAGGTGTGAATGCCTCAAAGACACAGTGGCCAGGGTACTACCTTACTGGCATGACATCATCGTCCCAACCATTAAGGTCAGTGATAAGAGCAATAGATAGGTCAATATAAGTAATTAGAGGAATAGACAGTTCAATATAAGTGATTAGTAGAATAGACAGTTCAATAGTAGTGATTAGAGGAATAGACAGTTCAATATTAGTGATTAGAGGAATAGGGATTCCAATATTAGTGATTAGAGGAATAGGCAGTTCAATATTAGTGATTCGAGGAATAGACAGTTCAATATATGTAAGTGATTAGAGGAATAGACAGTTCAATATAGGTAAAGTGTGCAGCAAATATCATCGTCATCATACCAGTAATTAGTGTCATTATCCTTTGAATGAATCTGATCAACCCTTTAAACATTTGGTCAGTAAGCTATGTTTTAGAAAACATTTGAATTCTTTTTTATTTGTTTATAGTCTGGCCAGCGGGTAGTGATCTCGGCCCATGGTAACAGTCTGCGGGCACTGGTGAAATACCTGGACAACATACCTGACGCCGAGATCCCAGAACTTAATATTCCAACAGGTGAGATTTTTTTCTTCTTTGCAGGTGAGAATTAAATACCACAACAGGTGTAATTCCAGCATGTGTAGAGATGAGAACTTAATGTCCTTAGGTAAAAGTTGCCTTATTTACAGGTGAGATAGTGTTTTCTGCTGGTTTGAAAAATAGAGAATCTGAAGGGGCATATTGCTTGCGTTAAATTAAGGCAGAACAAATTTAGATGGGGTGTACATGATGCCTCCCTTTGAGAAAACATTTCTAAAACTTAATATCCCACAGGTGAGATTTCAATAAGTACATGTTGGAAGAAAATATCCCCTCCAGGTGAAATTTAACATCTAGAAGGGCAAGATTAATAGAATCTCTCACCCCCTTGGGGTTGAGATAGGGGAATCTTAATCCGAGGGGGAAGATTCTTATGTTGCAAAATACGAGGCTTTGCCGTGTGTTTGGCAACTTAAGAATCTTTCCCGGAGGGTTGAGATTCCACTATCTTACCCACAAGGGGGTGAATGATTCTTTTTCTCTTACCCTGTTCTCCCAATGTGTATCATATACACAATGTAATGATAACGTTACATGCTAAATCCAGGGTTAATGGATTGTTGACGTGACGTCATTCTATTGTTGAAGTGACGTCATACCATTGTTATGAATAGGAGAATCCCCCCGTCTCAACCCTAGGGTGAGACAAGGAAATCTCACACCGGTAAAAGTGCGGATACACTTTTCCAGGGTAAGAGAAATATATCCCCAACAAGTGAGAACTCAGAATTATGTACTTTATTGTGTTCCTGATTTCTAAATGATATTGTTTAACCATTTTGGCAGGTATTCCCCTGGTATATGAGCTCACAGCCGATTTAAAACCAGTGAAACATTACTACCTGGCTGATGAAGCTCAGGTCAAGGCTGCAATGGAGAAAGTAGCCAACCAGGGCAAGGCTAAACAGTAACCATGGTGATGACTGATGCACAGAATAGTGGTTCACTTACAGAAACTCAAATATAACTTATTATTTTGTTATGTGCATTCATTTTAAATGTCTGCATCTTGTTGTTTGATATGTTAAAAGATCTGCCACAAAATCTCTGCAGAACGCTGATTAGGAGCTAGGGTAGATTCTGCTGGGTGCTGCTTACGGTTGGTTGATAGTTAGGCTTGTAACTCTGTGTTTGTAAATACATGTATAATAGCCACTGGAGATTGTTTAATGTATAGTATGGAGATTATTTATCTTGTATCAATATTGACTTGATATATGTTATTTATAGTGTTTTCCAAAAGCTTGCACTCCCCAATATATAAAGGTGTGTTGATAGTTGCTCCCTGCAGAAATCCACGTGTCATATTGTAAAAGATATTTACTGAAAATATTAATTATGGTGCAGGTTTTATCCCTCACTATTTGTCAAAATTGGTATAACATATTACACCCATTCCATCGTTGTTTTCTGTCCGCCAGCAAACCTGCACAATTTTTTACTTTATGAATCTGAGATATGTTGACGATGTAAAGCATTGAATTAAAAAGTAATAAAGCATTTTAAGTCTTTCTTTTGAATGGAATAAATCATTGTTATAGTACAGCTGTACTAGATTTAACTCTAAGCATGTGCTTTACGAATACCCCTACTCCCATATCTCACGTATCTATAAAGTCTGAAGTCTGTTTATGAAACAGTGGCCGAGAAATACTGAGGAAACCTGTTGTATTATGCCTTATTTCTAGAGGTCAAGGTCACAGAGAACTTGTTTTAGAATGTAACACACTGCATTCCTATGATGTACTTATATACATAAATAGTTTTATGCCCAGTCATTAAACAGCAACAGAGATATCCTACGGAAATCATTATTTTATTGAGGTCAAGGTCACAGAAACCTTGTTTTAAGATCTGAAACACTGCCTTTGCATCATGTGCATATAAAAATGTTGACGCCCAGTCAGGAAACAGCAGCTGAGGTATGCTCGGTTAATCGATATTTAGTACTCGAGATCACAGGTGAAATTGAGGTCACAGTGATCTCTCTTAACATGTGACACACCACTTGTTCATGATGTACCTACATACGTAGTTTGATGCCCATTTATAAAATGATGAGTTATGCTCAGAAACCAATGTTTTTGACTTGAGGTCAAGGTCGTATTGAGGTGACAGTGACCTCGTTTTAGGATGTGATGTACCTTCCCATAATGTACCTATTTTGATGCCCATTTATGTAACATTGGGCAAGCTATGCTCTGGAAACCAGTGGGATGAACACACGCAGGGGCAGACGGCAAAGCTAATAATGTATACCCCTGACTTCAATCAAAGCAGGGTATAAAAAAGGAATCTTTAGACAGAACATTGTTGATACACAAATTAGGAAGTTCTTTGAAACTGACGATACTGGATACGAAGTCAGCACACAGCTGATGTGGAACTCCTTGGATGCAAATACACAACAATAAGTCAATTACTGACATACCATAACTTTTTATTTGGAAAAAAAGAATACAGTAAGTGCTATTTCAAAAGTTATTATACCTAAGAGGTAGGAAGCAATCGTAATAAAAGAACTGTGGGTGTTAGAGTAATCTAAAAGTCTACCCACTGTTGGTTTAAACATATTTTTATTGCCTTGAAAATGACAAAAAGGATTGGGCACAAGTTCTCATAACTTAATTAAGCCCTCTCCTAACCTAAATACATTTTACGTACATCATACCTGTCTTAACATGTACATTTTTTTTATTTTTTATTTTTTAAATTTAAGTTGAATTAACACTGTTATTAACTGAATACGGTTGTCTGATGTAACGTTACTTCCTACCTATTGTGTACAACAGATTCCGGACTAGCCTTACACAGGGATTGCAGCACTGCAGGCAAGTGAAGCATGCTCAAAGTCTGTCCTGGTAAACATCACCAGTATTATTGAAGCTCCGGACAATTTCTGATCACATTTACACTGTTGTTGGTCTGTATACATCTAAAACAGTGTAAACATCGTAATGATTCAAGTTTTATTAAAATAAACAGGGATAATACAGGGAGGCGGCAACAACAATGAAAAGGGTAAAAATTCACACGACCCTAGCTTGGCTTAATGGAATTGATTTTTTAATAATTAATGTAACAATGAAGTTCACTAGATATGTAAAACAATCACTTCTGTGTTAAATATGTGAAACAATCACTCAATCTGATAAACATTCTAGGCAGTTTAAAGACTTGTAAAAGAAATATTTTAGAAATATCTGGTAAATGTAACTGATATAAGAATTGTGAGAGAAGATATCATATTATCAAACGGAAAGTTATTATTTCTGCTCTGATCATCCTCCACCTGTACCTGTAACACCAAATCAATAAAAAAGGTTTGTGTAAAAAAAAGGGTACGATAAAAGATCTTCACTGTAGCCTCAATCTGGCCCAGTATAGGGACATTGAAATTTCCATAGCTATAATTATGATTTAATACTAAAATATGAACACACTGTAACTGTACCAGGAATAAGCTTTTATTTAATAAACGAAAGATCGATTTTGACCATCCGATAAATGAATTTTAACAAATCATGTGGTGACTACACTAGTCATGTACACATTATCTTTAAATATTTGAATTACGTTCTAAAATAGTATTCATGTCTCTGATAAACTGATAAACAATTACTAGTGGTTCATTGGTCAGATTTTTACAGTACATTGTACAGTATCTATAATTGCCAAATATTAAAATTATTATAAAGATACAGGTACATTTTTTCACATCTTCGCTAGCCAAGGGTTACGATCTGGTCTACCTACTCTTCACAGTGTCACTTATTTTGCATAAACTACATTTAGTGTGAACATATACATCTAGAAATATTTCATTTTTGGAAATGAGTTTATGAAACCTTGAACACGTTTTGCTTTCCCATCCCTACAGTATTGTATCTGTGTTTATAACTGTGTCGGATCGTTAAAAAAATTGCTTTTTAAATAAATCATCATGGTGAACAGTCACAAGTTCATCAAAAGCACATTATTACCATCTCAGGGACAAGAAAATCTGTTTATTTATCAAAATGTATGAGCAATGAAAAATGAAAGTTTCGAGACATGAAAATATCCAGTTTCCATGCTAAATGAAATCACACGAAATGCGTCTGTATATATAGTTCAAGAGAAAGTATGAGAGAAAGCCAGCCTGCAACGATCATCAGAAACCTCCATATGATACAATCCATGTTTACATTTCACTAAACTCACTATAAGCAAATCTTTAAGATTTCTTGTGTCCACTGGTTTGACTAGAAATTAAAATAATTATTAACCCCTATATAACTTTTGTAGACTCAACCATGCATTTATCTGGACGAGTCCATTCAAGTCTACAGTGGTGAAAGGGTTTAAGCAGAATGCAGTTCTATGAACTAGCTTCAACAATGTGATAAACAGTGTGTACACCACGTTTCCTCTCAACCTTCATTCACATTACAACAATAGACAGTTTCAGTCTTGATGGGCAGCAGAGAAAATAACATCAAGTTGAGCGTGCCACTGATGAAATAAAAAATCTAATTTCTCAGTAAGAAGTTCTGATAATTGACTACATAATTTGGTATCTCCCTCTTCCTCTGGGTATGTTATGTCAACAGGAGAATATAATTACGTTTCTGACAAAACAATATATCAGTAGGTTACATGTAATAAACAGGTCCAAATTATCTGGTACACTGGTCTTATAGCTTATTATCTAGTTAAGCTGATCATATCATCATCAAAATATTTGCTTCATAATCATGGCAAAAAAAAGGCCTGATCATAAAAAACTTGAAATGTATCAATATTCAGTGTGTTTTTCAAGTTAAATATTCTCATTCAATACATTAAAATAACAAATGACATTAGTTTTTATACAAGATGTTTCAAACTGCTTTTAGCGGCATCAGATATACTTAGTGATTTTAAAAATACATTTCAGCCATTTCATTTAAGTAAGCACATCTCGGCTATTCCCTCCACCTCGAACCACTAGGTGACTATTCACAAGGTATAAGGTCTTCCTTATTGGGACGATACCCAACACTGCTCTACATTTATAGAGTTCGAGTTCTACTTAGAAACTGTTTAGAACACAATGTTTATAATTTTATAGCCGTTATACTAAAAGTAAAAGAGAGACCTAGTTCAATGCCCATCATTACATATCCTAATTGATCATAAAATAAAAATTAAATAAAACCCTGTAAGATTGAGGCCATCTGAGAAGGAGCCAACGATGGTTTCGGAGTGTATTGTATTATCGTTCATGGAGAGGTGTTTATAAACAATATATAGTATAAAGTCCTGTTGGAGTTAATGTGGAGTGGAGTACTTAATTACAACAAGGTTATGGTGCATATGATGTGGACAATAAATACAAATTGTTTCATAAAATAATATTTACATTTATAAAGGTACATTTGAAATGATAATGGCCGAAAACATATATTGTCAGTATTCTTGTTAAGTTACACAATCTCAAACTAGGGAAAATGTTCCAAAATGACACGATAAAACACGGAAAGTTACAATGTATACTGATAAAATATATGAATAACTTAGTATCAGGTATAAGATTAAGATCGCTTATCTGGGAATGGAAAGATTTTTCTTAAATTTGGAACAATTTCCTTAGTATACATGAATGTTTATATTAATAAATCAGAACATTCCAATCTGGAATAAAAATGGACAAAACATCAGAAAAACACTGACATTCTTACAGTCGTGAACAAATGTACCAAGTTCATTTCTAAGATTCACAAATCTTAGACTCAAATTTTCTCAAGTTAAGGAATAAGAAAGGGCAGATCATGTGCACAATTACACACCATACATATCCACCACAGCTGTCACATTCAACCAGACAAATAAGCCAGCAACTGTAAACCAAATTATCAATAGACTCTCAATTCCTATTTTCCACCTCAAGAATGTTGTCTACAGCACAAGTACAATAACTGGATATTCTATAATACATTCTCCTCCTTGCTGTATGGTGGTTTTTAAATATACCAGATTTTGGTTTTTTACCCCTCTCTCACGCCACCAAAGTTCACACTCTATCAGACCAGAATTATGAATAGTATTGTGTATTGCACTGATGAATAATGAGCATATAGGACCGTGAAGTCCGAATTAAACATCCTCACATATATATATAATCTCCCACACAAATATCTGCATGTGTACACCATGTTTGACAATATTTCTGTGACAAATCTGGTAACAGTTCTTCACAATGGGTTCAGCGGACTGTCTGCACAATTACCTACTAAGAAATACCAACAGTTCTTAGTGAAAAAATCTGAAAATAATTAGCCTACTAGTGAACAAGGCATTATTATTCAAACAAGAGGTTTAGAGGGCCTGTATATGTCACCTTGCTATTTAAGGAACTACACTTGTATGGCAAACTAAGAGTTAATATGATTAATATTTCCTCATTTTGGACTGCCCCTCTCACCACCATGCTGGAATACACCTAGCTAAATACACCCTTCCAAAATCTGATTTCCTGGTCCAAAAAAATGCTTCATAGCAAATTTGATGGAAATATGATCTACTAGTCAGAAAGAGACAAGGGAGGCTTCAATTTTTTTGTACAAGACTATTGGGATCAATCAACTTCATTTATAAAAAATGGTATCCCCTTGTCCAAGTGATATTTCAAAACTAATATGTAGCAGTCTATGCAGTCATTTAGAAGGAGAAAAAGTTGACGTTAATATTACCTAAGTTCTATTTGAAGCCCTGCTCTCAGGGGGAGGGTAGGCATGCCATTTATTATGAAACATAAACAACAGACTATTTTGGGAGAATCGTTGACTACATTAGCAAAACTGTTGTCAGACATGGCATAAACATGCAGTTCACTTCACATTTTAGATTTGTACACCTCATACAAGTTGATTGCAATACTGATGAGCCTTGTTAATCCAGTCACTATCAATCTGGCTGTCCTACTCTTCTGTCACCACTTGTCTCTGGGTGTTTCACTACCCAGCTAACGCTAACTCTAATCTGGGTATCCCCCTTAAGCTTCCTAGCCACCGCTGATGTCCTACTATTAAGCCACCACACACCTGGTTGGCCTACTCTCCTGTCACCATTAATTTGGATGTCCCACTACCCTGCCAACTTTAATCTGGGTATCGCAGCACCCAGCCAACACTAATCTGGGTATCGCAGCACCCAGCCAACACTAATCTGGGTATCACACCAGCCAGCCAACACTAACCTTGGTATAGCACCAACCAGCCAACTTTAGTCTGGGTATCACACAACCCTTCCAACACTTATCTTGGGGTTCCTCCACCCAGCCAACTCTAATCTGGGTATCACCCCAGCCAGCCAACACTAACCTTGGTATAGCACCAACCAGCCAACTTTAGTCTGGGCATCACACAACCCTTCCAACACTTATCTTGGGGTTCTTCCACCCAGCCAACACTAATCTGGGAATCACACCAGCCAGCCAACACTAACCTTAGTATCGCACCAACCAGCCAACTTTAGTCTGGGTATCACACAACCCTGCCAACACTAATCTTGGGGTTCTTCCACCCAGCCAACACTAATCTGGGTATCACACCAGCCAGCCAACACTTACCTTGGTATCGCACCAACCAGCCAACTTTACTCTGGGTATCACACAACCCTGCCAACACTAATCTTGGAGTTCTTCCACCCAGCCAACACTAATCTGGGTATCCCACCAGCCAGCCAACACTAACCTTAGTATCGCACCAACTAGCCAACTTTAGTCTGGGTATCACACAACCCTGCCAACACAATCTAGGGGTTCCTCCACCCAGCCAACACTAATCTGGGTATCACACTACCTAGCCCACACTAACCTGGGTATCACACCACCCAGCCAACACTAATCTTGGGGGCCCACCACCCAGCCAACACTAATCTTGGGGGCCCACCACCCAGCCAACACTGATCTGGGTGTCCAACCACTCAGCCACCCTAATATTTTGATAATCCAGCCTCTTTCAAAAAGACTGTCACTTGATTAACTAGGCTCGACCATACATTACAACTTTCAATACAATTAAGCCTTACATACAAATCTTGCAACATATACAAGCACTGTTCACCTCCACACCAAGCCTCACACAAGCCTCACACAAGCATTGCAGTTATCACAGATATGTAGTGATACAGAACAACATTTAATACCCATATCACAAAGCCGTCATTCCATCACAAGCTCCTCTTGTGAAGCTCTGGGCCAGGCCTGGGCTGGCATTGCTGTATCCTGACACACGTTGCTCAGGGAATCCAGGCCTTAGATACGACTGGCATTGTTATATCATTTAACAGAGCGACAGTTCTGTATGGACACATGGTTTCACAAACTTGTACGCAAGCTTAGTCAAGGAATTTTGGAATTTAATCCCGATAGCACTTAATATTGTATGCTTAAGGACACGATGACATACCAAATCCGATGGTCAAGAAACCATGTGCCGCGTTACATCACTAAGATGAATCAAAGAACCGTTTTGGTTTAATCTCCACAGCAAAACACAATCCTTTTTGTAGTTGTAATTACTAAAATCAAGATCACAGATCAAAGTTATCTCCCCTGGGCAGAATGTTTGGTGGGAAATACTGTGTGTACATAAAGTAATTTTATCACAAACATATTCACTATATATCTGTAGTAGTGCTCTTTCTGAAGCAACCATTTGACCGTACAGAAAGTATGATTTTGATCTCTGACCTCAACCCTGTACTTGAGGTGTGGTGCCGTTGACAAGTCCGCGAAGCTGTTTCAGAACAGTGTCCAACAATTTTTTCTTGTCACGTTCGCCCTTCTTCAGCGACGCAAATAGGTTGTTCTTCTTCTTGTCAGCATTGTTTAACCTACAACAGGGCATGCTTTCATTGATATCGTATTTAACGTTTCAAGTGTCTTCAAAATTTTCAGGTGTTATCTTCAAACCAAGTATCTTTATATATAACCTTTCAAAAGAAATCCGAGGAATTTGTTCTTACTAATTTTTACTTTTAAGAATAAATTCAAGCAGACACATTGTTACATTCAATGAGAACGTAAAAGATATGCTGACAGTTTATGAAAATAAAGACTGAAATTGTAGCATTCTAAGGGTCACAAAAGTCAATATGCTGTCACCCTCAGGCAGGGGAAAACTTTCTAAATCTAATTATTTTAAACAATATTTACTTCTTAAAATGACGAATTGTTTCACAAGAGGTACAATTATAGGACTCAGAAATGAGCAAACTGTTTTAATAGACTTCTTTCCTGATTTGAAAAAGATGGTTACAAGTTGACTCACTTCTCCAGTATACTGATAGCCACCTGTGGCTGGACGCGAAGGTACTTGGACTTGGCCTGACCGTAGTCGGCCAGATAAACTGACCAGTCCCAGTTCAGGAACAGGTCCAACAGCTGTAAAGCATAATCAAACGTAAGTTAAAATAGGAATCGATAATCTGTTTTTCTACTATATATTAAAGCCAAGTTTATATCAAGAACTGGACAAGATTTCAGAGAATCCAATCGATATTAATTGTTTAATATACTTGACAAAATTTGAGAAGACCATCGCCTACTGTCTAGAGTAGCCAAACAAGACAAGATTCCAGAGACTCGTCTTTGTTGTGAAGAATGTATTGGATAAGATTTTAGTGACCTTATTCCTCATAGCTTAGTATAATGGACCAAATTTCATAGATTCCCTTTTTATGTTGTCTACTTTATATACTGGACAAGTATTTTGTTACTAATTGGCTGGTATAAACAATACAATACGTAATTGGCCAATACAAAATAAAAAATCAATACATGTACAAATATTTTATATTTGACTTCCTTGTATAGTATGATGCTACAAGTTTAGTATCACATATAAAAAAATGCCAATCATAGTAAATTGAATTACAAGTAAACTATAATGGTTTTACCTGTCGGACATCTGCAAACGCCATCACTAGGGTTCCATCAGTAAATCCTGGTACTGGCTCGGAGGCAGCAAACACTGTCAAAACACATACAGGGAATATTTAACACTCACACTCAGTATATAGAGCTATACCAAAGGCAGCAATGTCAATACATGCACAAGGACAATTCAACATCTACACTGTATAGAGCTATACCACAGACATCAATGTCAATACATACACAAGGATAATTCAACATCTACACTCAGTGTACAGAGCTATACCACAGACATCAATGTCAGTACATACACAAGGACAATTCGACATCTACACTCAGTATATAGAGCTTTACCAAAGGAAGCAATGTCAATACATACACAAGGCCAATTCAACATCTACACTCAGTGTATAGAGCTATCCCAAAGGCAGCAATGTCAATCCATACACAAGGACAATTCAACATCTACACACAGTATATAGAGCTATACCAAAGGCAGCAATGTCAATATATACACAAGGACAATTCAACATCTCCACTCAGTTTATAGAGCTATACCAAAGACAGCAGTGTCAATACATACACAAGGACAATTCAACATCTACACTCAGTGTATAGAGCTATACCACAGACATCAATGTCAATACATACACAAGGACAATTCAACATCTACACTCAGTATATAGAGCTATACCAAAGGCAGCAATGTCAATACATACACAAGGACAATTCAACATCTACACTCAGTATATAGAGCTATACCAAAGGCAGCAATGTCAATACATACACAAGGACAATTCAACATCTACACTCAGTATATAGAGCTATACCAAAGGCAGCAATGTCAATACATACACAAGGACAATTCAACATCTACACTCAGTATATAGAGCTATACCAAAGGCAGCAATGTCAATACATACACAAGGACAATTCAACATCTACACTCAGTATATAGAGCTATACCAAAGGCAGCAATGTCAATACATACACAAGGACAATTCAACATCTACACTCAGTATATAGAGCTATACCAAAGGCAGCAATGTCAATACATACACAAGGACAATTCAACATCTACACTCAGTATATAGAGCTATACCAAAGGCAGCAATGTCAATACATACACAAGGACAATTCAACATCTACACTCAGTATATAGAGCTATACCAAAGGCAGCAATGTCAATACATACACAAGGACAATTCAACATCTACACTCAGTATATAGAGCTATACCAAAGGCAGCAATGTCAATACATACACAAGGACAATTCAACATCTACACTCAGTATATAGAGCTATACCAAAGGCAGCAATGTCAATACATACACAAGGACAATTCAACATCTACACTCAGTATATAGAGCTATACCAAAGGCAGCAATGTCAATACATACACAAGGACAATTCAACATCTACACTCAGTATATAGAGCTATACCAAAGGCAGCAATGTCAATACATACACAAGGACAATTCAACATCTACACTCAGTATATAGAGCTATACCAAAGGCAGCAATGTCAATACATACACAAGGACAATTCAACATCTACACTCAGTATATAGAGCTATACCAAAGGCAGCAATGTCAATACATACACAAGGACAATTCAACATCTACACTCAGTATATAGAGCTATACCAAAGGCAGCAATGTCAATACATACACAAGGACAATTCAACATCTACACTCAGTATATAGAGCTATACCAAAGGCAGCAATGTCAATACATACACAAGGACAATTCAACATCTACACTCAGTATATAGAGCTATACCAAAGGCAGCAATGTCAATACATACACAAGGACAATTCAACATCTACACTCAGTATATAGAGCTATACCAAAGGCAGCAATGTCAATACATACACAAGGACAATTCAACATCTACACTCAGTATATAGAGCTATACCAAAGGCAGCAATGTCAATACATACACAAGGACAATTCAACATCTACACTCAGTATATAGAGCTATACCAAAGGCAGCAATGTCAATACATACACAAGGACAATTCAACATCTACACTCAGTATATAGAGCTATACCAAAGGCAGCAATGTCAATACATACACAAGGACAATTCAACATCTACACTCAGTATATAGAGCTATACCAAAGGCAGCAATGTCAATACATACACAAGGACAATTCAACATCTACACTCAGTATATAGAGCTATACCAAAGGCAGCAATGTCAATACATACACAAGGACAATTCAACATCTACACTCAGTATATAGAGCTATACCAAAGGCAGCAATGTCAATACATACACAAGGACAATTCAACATCTACACTCAGTATATAGAGCTATACCAAAGGCAGCAATGTCAATACATACACAAGGACAATTCAACATCTACACTCAGTATATAGAGCTATACCAAAGGCAGCAATGTCAATACATACACAAGGACAATTCAACATCTACACTCAGTATATAGAGCTATACCAAAGGCAGCAATGTCAATACATACACAAGGACAATTCAACATCTACACTCAGTATATAGAGCTATACCAAAGGCAGCAATGTCAATACATACACAAGGACAATTCAACATCTACACTCAGTATATAGAGCTATACCAAAGGCAGCAATGTCAATACATACACAAGGACAATTCAACATCTACACTCAGTATATAGAGCTATACCAAAGGCAGCAATGTCAATACATACACAAGGACAATTCAACATCTACACTCAGTATATAGAGCTATACCAAAGGCAGCAATGTCAATACATACACAAGGACAATTCAACATCTACACTCAGTATATAGAGCTATACCAAAGGCAGCAATGTCAATACATACACAAGGACAATTCAACATCTACACTCAGTATATAGAGCTATACCAAAGGCAGCAATGTCAATACATACACAAGGACAATTCAACATCTACACTCAGTATATAGAGCTATACCAAAGGCAGCAATGTCAATACATACACAAGGACAATTCAACATCTACACTCAGTATATAGAGCTATACCAAAGGCAGCAATGTCAATACATACACAAGGACAATTCAACATCTACACTCAGTATATAGAGCTATACCAAAGGCAGCAATGTCAATACATACACAAGGACAATTCAACATCTACACTCAGTATATAGAGCTATACCAAAGGCAGCAATGTCAATACATACACAAGGACAATTCAACATCTACACTCAGTATATAGAGCTATACCAAAGGCAGCAATGTCAATACATACACAAGGACAATTCAACATCTACACTCAGTATATAGAGCTATACCAAAGGCAGCAATGTCAATACATACACAAGGACAATTCAACATCTACACTCAGTATATAGAGCTATACCAAAGGCAGCAATGTCAATACATACACAAGGACAATTCAACATCTACACTCAGTATATAGAGCTATACCAAAGGCAGCAATGTCAATACATACACAAGGACAATTCAACATCTACACTCAGTATATAGAGCTATACCAAAGGCAGCAATGTCAATACATACACAAGGACAATTCAACATCTACACTCAGTATATAGAGCTATACCAAAGGCAGCAATGTCAATACATACACAAGGACAATTCAACATCTACACTCAGTATATAGAGCTATACCAAAGGCAGCAATGTCAATACATACACAAGGACAATTCAACATCTACACTCAGTATATAGAGCTATACCAAAGGCAGCAATGTCAATACATACACAAGGACAATTCAACATCTACACTCAGTATATAGAGCTATACCAAAGGCAGCAATGTCAATACATACACAAGGACAATTCAACATCTACACTCAGTATATAGAGCTATACCAAAGGCAGCAATGTCAATACATACACAAGGACAATTCAACATCTACACTCAGTATATAGAGCTATACCAAAGGCAGCAATGTCAATACATACACAAGGACAATTCAACATCTACACTCAGTATATAGAGCTATACCAAAGGCAGCAATGTCAATACATACACAAGGACAATTCAACATCTACACTCAGTATATAGAGCTATACCAAAGGCAGCAATGTCAATACATACACAAGGACAATTCAACATCTACACTCAGTATATAGAGCTATACCAAAGGCAGCAATGTCAATACATACACAAGGACAATTCAACATCTACACTCAGTATATAGAGCTATACCAAAGGCAGCAATGTCAATACATACACAAGGACAATTCAACATCTACACTCAGTATATAGAGCTATACCAAAGGCAGCAATGTCAATACATACACAAGGACAATTCAACATCTACACTCAGTATATAGAGCTATACCAAAGGCAGCAATGTCAATACATACACAAGGACAATTCAACATCTACACTCAGTATATAGAGCTATCCCAAAGGCAGCAATGTCAATACATACACAAGGACAATTCAACATCTACACTCAGTTGTACCAAAGACAAGGTGGTGTGCATTTGAATCCATAATTATTGAGTGAATTCATTTTCTTTTTAACTAAGATTGCACATTTAGTATAAATTTGCAAACTTAAAAATCACATTTAAATTCTTTGAAAGGCCCCATCTCCATGTCTATATTTTGCCTGATGCTGATCTATACAGTAACCATGTATCTCTGATTTACAGACTTACGTTCACACTGAATGAGGTCCAGGTTAAACTGCTGTAGAGCTCCGAGTGTCATCTGTTTCAGGTCGTTGTCACGGATGAACTCCAGCAGGTTGTTGGCGATATGTTTACATGCAGACATACAAGCCGTCTTTGCTATTTTCTCCTGTTAAGTAAAAATAGTCACAATTCTTAAACTATCATTTTATTTAAAATTTTAGCTTTCATAATATGAGTTCACTACTTCGGTTTCTGACTTCTTTTAAGTAATATCCCAACAAATTTAAAACGTATACATTGTACCTAAAATGACGTAATGACTGTGTATACTGACAATTGCCTTGTTTTTGCATATTTCATTCTAAGTGACATACCTATAGTTGTTTTTAAACCTTTACTAACCTAGTACTCTGTATATTTGTATATACAGTTAGGATAACAACATTACACTACCACTCATTCCCTTTAATTACATTGGCTGTAATTACTAATCACTGAGGTTACAGGTATAGTTAATTTGGAACTGGTGGCACCTTCATTGATATTTACTAAATAACTTCATCAATTGCTTTCAGTTGGCATTGCTTTTCAAAATGCAAGTGAATTACTAGTTCCATTGAGTTTGCCTTTGTTAATTTGGTATGTACATATTACTATAGACAGGGGTACTTAACCAGCAGTTTTAAGTTTGGGTAAAGGTTGATCTATAAACTCACACAACAGTGATGAATGTTTCTAAACAGGTAACCTTACAAATGTGACAAACGCTGAAACCTTAACATTCAACAATGCACATACTGGTATTTTATCACGAGTTTATACAGATCGTAGGAATGCCAACTGACAGCTGGAGTCAAGGATCCCTGCCCCACTGCACTGTAGTTTGTTTATATATAAAGTAACCTTCCCTTGATTTCATTTTGGACTTAACTGTAGTGTTATTGGGCCAAGGCCCTTTTGTTGACTAAGTAGCTATATAGCTTAGTCTGTTTGAGCGGTAGAATAGCAATCTAAAGTCCAAGGTTCCAATCCCGGTCTAGCCCCACTGCATTACTGTTTTTGTAGTGGTACGGGGATCCTTAAAGCTTCAAATAAGAACCAGTGAAGTTTGGAATCCTACTGGTGCATATACCTTTCGTATACTACAATTATACTATACATATTACAACATCATATACCATGTGGTTAGTAAAACGGATTACGATACATTTGCATAATATGTAGCTTGCAAGAATTTATATCAGTCATTTTTGCAGGTGCTTCGAAAAATTGAACGGTACAGTTTAGCAAATTATTTTAATCAAAATCAATGCAAATAAATAAATAAACATTTTGTGTGCATTAAAACTGAAAACGTTATAATCTGTTTCCATCCAGCAACATGAGCAGTAAAACTCTGGGTGTTTATATGTAACTGTAACATGTTATTTACCGACTTACCACAGAGATTACTGTACAAGCTGGGAACGGTGTAACAAGGAATCTAATGAACTGGCATACTGAGAACCTATACTATTGGTTCACTGAAGTGAGACCTGATTTTGTTAATAAAATTCTCAAATCGAAATAATTCAACTGCAATGTCAGATATTCAGTAAAAAAAAGTTCAAAACTGCATATTTATCAGCTATGACAAAGCATTCCATAACACTTCATTTTAGAAAATCCATATATGTTACGTACCTGCCTGACACCAAAAAAATAAAAATAAAAAACATTTAAAAATCATGAAAATGTAAGCTTTACTTTCTGTTTTATAATCAAAACACTTCACTCATGAATAAAAAAATAATTAACTGAAAAAAACAATAATTGTAATTTTGCAAATACATCATGGATTTTTAAACGATTATGGAAAATTCAGTAAAGATTTTGTTCCAATGATTAAATCTGAGAATCAACATTGATTTTTTTGAGATAGATCAAATCCAGGTCACATTTTAGCATCAATTACTGTTTCCAACACTAGCCTATAACTATCATTCAAGCTGCAGTGTTCCCACGTCTAGTTGTGCCTTACTCGCTGATCATCCATGTAGCATATAATTAATAACGAAAAGTAAAACATAACGTCCATGCTGACCACACAGAAACAGTTACCCCTGGGTCAATGCAGAGGGCAATGTCCTGCAAACACCATCACCATGGTAACAAAACACAGAAGAGGTCAATACCAAGGTAACAAGACATAGGAGGAGTCATCACCATGGCAACAGAATATATCACCATGGCAACAGAATATACAATATAGATAGAGTCAAAAGAAGATTCAATAATTGTGTAACAGGTATCAATTTATTCCCAAAATTTGATCCAAACAATTAAATAGTAGAAAGAATTTTGTAACTTTGTAACAATGTTAAATTTGGAAATTAAGCTTATTCAGTTTCATCACACTGGAGACTATCCGCTTTTTAAGGACTATTTACCATAAAGTTTGAATGAAACTGTGCCACAGCACAAAGTAACCGCCAAATATGTCAATTATATTAAAAGTGACGGAGCATCAGAGAGTGGCCATCTTGGTTTTTGGGATCAGGGTAACATATGGTGAATTAACGTGGAGTATCCATTAAGTACCATTTAACATCAAAGTGAACCCTGACAAATCAGAAATGGGCAGTTGACTCCTTTTTAGGTTTAGCAAAAGTGTCTCCGACATTGACCTTGACCAGTGGCTGTCCAGACAATATAGTGTGGTTCATATAGGACTTCTATCAAAAACCGGGCATGTGGACTGATGGACAGAATGTGATTAAAATAGGGCACCGTCCTACATCTGTGATGTGGGGACCTAATTATGGTCAGACCTCGGACTGGTCTGATGTAGCCTTGTAATGTGACATACTAGACAACTGATTGTATAAAATATCAGCTGGACAAGCAATCTGTAAAAAATCATCACAAGTAATAGTTGCCATTTTTGAGAGTCTGTATAGTTTTGAGGTAGATTTTAACAAAATAAACAAGACAATCCTTCTGACACAAAATTCCTTATGATATTTGTGGGATGTACTAAGAGAGGATTAAATCTCAGAAACCTCTCAGGCCAAATTCACTCACAGGCAATATACTGATACAATCTAACCTGGTTTCTTTGTATATAACACAACAATCAGGAAGAAATCTTTGAATAAATAGGAATCATTTCCAATACAACAGAACTTGTAAGATAACAGATGAGGTCGCAAACCCAAACTTACCGGAAGGTTGGTAAAGGACATAAACGTGCTCTGTAAGAATGCCACCAAGTCAGCTATGTAACCGCTGGCGTGACCTTTGGACTCGGTCACCATCCAATCATAGTTAGCTACAACATAATCAGATAACAGTTTGTTATGTGTCTCTGTGTAAATATTGTGTACAGAACAATGGTTGTGGAATATCATGCATAAAAACCTAGACATGATTTAGATTAAATCAACCATATTTCTTAACTATGTAGTTCAAGGTTTCAAAAATTTACAATGAAACCAGAGATCCCTGCTTGGGGGTCTTGGTGCCCAACATCACTTGATCTCCATCAGTTGAACAGTTCTCTGTTAGTTTGATATTTTCTGTTCATTTCTCTTCTGTTGGGTTGAAGTCTGGTCTACAGTAAATGCATCTTGTAATAGCATTTGATTAAATTTCTTAACTGCTCCTAGTGCTGGGTTTGAGATTGTTCTTTCAAAGTGAGGTCATTGTTTACCTCTTGAGAAATAAACAAATTTGAACTGTTCAATCAGTCTCAAAATAAAACATGCACACCTATGGATCATGGAGAAAATCCATATGAAATCTGAAAAGGATCTGTCAAGTACTTCTTGAGAAATAGTGATAAAAAACTTGAACTCTCAAAAATCTAAGATGGTTGCCAGGTGGCCATCTTGTTTTTCAGATCAGTCTTAAAATGAAACAGCACAACTAAGGACCACGGGTAACCTACATATTAAATCTGAGAAAGATGTGTCAAGCACTTCTTGAGAAATAGCAAAAGCAAACTTGAATTCTCAAAATCTAAGATGGCTGCCAGGTGACTTTTCTGGACAAAAGACCACTGGTCACTTCTGTGTAAATCTGACATCTATCAGAACTCTTACCTAAGTCTAAGAATTCATCGATCTTCAGGTTCAGCTGTTTATAGATATGCTCCTCTGCATCACTGCGGGCATCCTAGGACAGAAAAAACCTACATCAGTACCGAGTATAGCATGTACTTTGTATATTGTTATTTTCACATTAAGGTGGAGGTGAAGAAGGTATGAGTTTTATTAAAAGTTTTTTTTTTTTTTTATATATATACATGTATTTCAATTATGCAACTTCAAACGTATAAGGTATATATGAGGAATTTGTGAACAGGATTCTACACTAAGACACTCGAATAGAGCTCCTTGACATGGCTCCTTGATATGATCTTCAATCTTAAATCTTGATTGCTATACCTTAAACATTGAAGTTCCATGAAGTCTGGCCATGTGTATGCTGTCGTTCTGGGCACTAAAATTACAACACATTGAATCAACACAGAATTAAAATTTAACATTAAGTGTGAACATTTCTTCAAGATTATTTCAAATTTCTTTTACATTTGCATGTCATCTGTTTCATTGCACAACAAATTTATACTTTGAATTTTTATGAATTGGGTATTGATACAATATCATAATAAACATGAAACAATGTATGACCAACATATACTGGTTCAAATAAATATCTCCTTCATGTCAACAACCCAAACTACTTAGTCCTCTGTTATAAAGAATGACTAATTAGCTACAGAAAGTAGAAGTGCTTATTCCGTCTTTGCGTATTGCAGAGTTATCTTCTCTTTAGAACAGGTATTGATTGTTACGTCACTTGTTTTTGAGAGTAACGTCATCAATTTTTGAGAAAACCACGTAACTTTCTCGCACAAACCAATGACGTAACAATCAATACCTGTTCCCAAGAGAAGATAACTCTGCAATACGCAAAGACGGAATAACAAATAAATTACTCTTCTTTTTTTCTGCTGTGTTCAAACTACAATAAGTTTTAGTATTCTTTCTCTTACTTTCATTCATCAAAATTAAATATATCACAGAACATGAATTTTAGTTACTGGCTGATGACTACCAAATTTTTGGAGGTGCAAAGAAAGTGTTTTATTTTTATTTAATACAAGATTTTTCAACTTTAAAAAAAAAATGAATTGCTGAATTGTTTTACCTTTTAATAGCATACACTTTTATCAATATACACCTACCAAATGGAACTGTCTATGTTTTAAATTACCAACTGTGCCATTATATTATTACATGTATTGAGTTCACATGGTCATAGGGACTACGGAAAATATCTGAAAGACAAAAGCAGTAATTAACTTGATTGGAAGTGTATTATTCAGGATTGCAGTTTTTCCTACATTGACAGACTTGTAACTATAATATCTGATTACAACGTACCCTGTAATACTGGATATATACTCCTCCAGGTACCCACATGACTTCTCAAGGTAGTTCATGTTTATAGCAATCTGAATTAGCTGAAATGGCAAAAAAGACAAAGGCTGAGTTAAGTTTTGAAAGTAATTGCAAAAACATATGGAAAATTAAAACAATTATGTTTTGTTATAAAACTTATATGAAAAAAGAAATTTCATATTTGTACATTAAAACATGTTGTGCCTGATTATCTTGAAAAGTTTATTTTTAAGCTAGTTTAAAATTAAATTTCAGATTGATATAATACTATCAAACTAACACCATTCAAAAATAAGTTGCTGCTAACAGCTTCCCTGCATGCTGATAAAGTGTACAAAGTTTTACTAAAATCTATGCAGCATGTAGAAGTATAATGGCCAAACTTGTGTCTGCAGGACAAACAGAAACCCTGATGGACAGATCAATGCAACCAAGCTCTGATTCCAGAATATGTAGAGGGTATCACAATAAAATATATTTAAGAAACTGATCTGCTATAAACCTATTCAAAAGATATCTATATTTAATTGTAGGAGGGACAATCTCATTAACAGGTATGTGTACTTACATGGGTGAGGGACAATCGCATCAACAGGTATATGTACTTACCTGGGTGACGGACAATCTCATTAACAGGTATCTGTACTTACCTGGGTGAGGGACAAGCTCATTAACAGGTATGTGTACTTACCTGTAGGCGGGACAATCTCATTAACAGGTATATGTACTGACCTGTAGGAGGGACACTCTCATTAACTGGTATCTGTACTTACCTGGGTGACGGACAATCTCATAAACAGGTATCTGTACTTACCTGGGTGAGGGACAAGCTCATTAACAGGTATGTGTACTTACCTGTGGGAGGGACAATCTAATTAACAGGTATATGTACTGACCTGTAGGAGGGACACTCTCATTAACTGGTATCTGTACTTACCTGTGTGATGGACAATCTCATTAACAGGTATCTGTACATACCTGTAGGAGGGACAATCTCATTAACAGGTCTATGTACTTACCTGTAAGAGGGACAATCTCATTAACAGGTATCTTTACTTACCTGTAGGAGGGACAATCTCATTAACTGGTATCTGTACTTACCTGGGTGATGGACAATTTCATTAACTGGTATCTGTACTTACCTGGGTGAAGGACAATCTCATTAACAGGTATATGTACTTACCTGTAGGAGGGACAATCTCATTAACTGGTATCTGTACTTAACTGGGTGACGGACAATCTCATTAACAGGTATATGTACTGACCTGTAGGAGGGACAATCTCATTAACTGGTATCTGTACTTACCTGGGTGATGGACAATCTCATTAACTGGTATCTGTACTTACCTGGGTGAAGGACAATCTCATTAACAGGTATATGTACTGACCTGTAGGAGGGACAATCTCATTAACTGGTATCTGTACTTACCTGGGTGACGGACAATCTCATTAACAGGTATATGTACTTACCTGTAGGAGGGACAATCTCATTAACAGGTCTATGTACTTACCTGTAAGAGGGACAATCTCATTAACAGGTATCTGTACTTACCTGTAAGAGGGACAGTCTCATTAACAGTGTCATTAACAGGTATATGTACTTACCTGTAAGAGGGACAGTCTCATTAACAGTCTCATTAACAGGTATCTGTACTTACCTGTAAGAGGGACAATCTCATTAACAGGTCTATGTACTTACCTGTAAGAGGGACAATCTCATTAACAGGTATCTGTACTTACCTGTAGGAGGGAGAGGCTTGGTCGTTTGATGAGTGAAGACAGACAGCTCCCGAGGGTTCTCGTCAGCAGCAGGTTTGTCGACTTCCTGATCATGTCATCTATCTCTGTATGACTACAAACAGGAATGGAGTGAATACTTTAAGATACTTTCACGTCTGAAATAATTCCTGTCTGTTCTCAAGCAATACCTGTCCATTGAAATACATATAAGGAATCGAAAATTGATGCCTCCAACCACATATTATAACACATTATCTCAGAAATAAATATCCCAGAAATAAAAATCCCCCCTGTGGTTATAAGGAGTCTAAGAAAATAATGTCTCTATATCATATCCATGATATTTAAGAATAAGCATTTTTATTTACAAGCTTTCTTTTTTGTTCTGGGTTTTATACATTATTATATAAAGCTTGAAGGAATGGAATGGTTACCTGAGGTGAAGATCAGCAGAGAACTTCAAACAGGCATTTATATACTCTTTCACTTGGTTATAAATGTCTGGCACAAACTCGGAGAACGGGAATCTCTTTGGAAATGCACTCTGTCAACGAAATAATTAACTGCTTTAACACACGGTCACATGTTATATACTTATCCACAATAGATTTTATATAGGTCTATATGAAGACCGTCTTAATGTCGTTCAAGGATGTTTCAGACATAGCGCTGTCCTTGTATAATTTACCTGGTACACAGGTACAGTTTAATAGCTCATTTATAAAAGATATAAGATTGAAGAGAATTCCATCATATAAGTGAAATAAAAAAGAATTGCTCCTTTCTTTTATGTCTAACTTAGTCAAAAGTAATCTATGGATGTTTCTGCTATGAGGTAGGATGAGTAACAGACTTATTGATATTTATATGATCTTCAGCTTAAAATGAATTTGAATGTAAGAGGCTTGATACACGGAATTCTCAGTAGTTAACCCTTTCACCACTGTAGACCATAATGGACTCAGCCCCATAAGTGCATGGTAGAGTCTACTGAAGTTACCTAGGGGTGAAAGGGTTAAATTTGATACATAATCTCCAATGATACAAGGCCAAGGACAAGACTTACCCCCTGAAGATCATCGTCCTGGAATGGGAACTGTGTAACAACACCCAGGAACTCCTCCTCGTTCTCCACATAGATAGGTGTGTAGTTATCATCATCAAATATCTCATTAAACACTTCCACCCACTGTCGTGTCAGAATATCGCTGTACTGGTCCCTGTACATATAAAGTGTTTAAATGTGTCACACCTCTACCGCAATTCAATTCCTAACAGAGTACATACATGTCATACTTACATAAAAAAATACCACCTTAAAGGGTATACGTAGGGAACACAAGTTTTCTGGGTTAAGGAGCCCAGATTGAAATGATTCCACTGTACAGTGGATTTACTACCACAAATATACATGTATTGTTCAAATTGAAGTAATGTTTCAGTTTTAAGAGGGAGGAGATAACAATTGCAACATGTGATCAGACAGTTAACAAATAAATCCACTCCTTCCAAATTCTACAGAATTTTAAATAAAACATGATAAACACATTAAGAAAACAAGTTTACCTTAATTCTAAGAGAAGCTCCAGTAGATGGCCAACACTAAAACCATAGCCCTGAAAGATTAAACAGAACATTTGCAATCATTTTTTCCCCCATTTCAGTCAAAAGGTTGTAAAACTTGATTAATATGAAGATTTCTACCTTGCATATTTTGACAAGAACTTAATAAAAATATAATCATAAAATTTGCATACATTATACTACAATTCACTGAAACTTATTTTTAAATCACTTGAAATCAAATGCAATTATCGGATACCCTAAAATCTGAAAAGTATGGTTTGAAATTCCTGGTTTAATTTGTGACCATCCTATTTTCAGATATATCTCAGAGTTGCAGCAATACAAAGTTAGTACTTACCCTCAGAGTATGGCAAAACAGTACAATAAGCTTCTTAATATCTAGCATCATATTGGCATCCTTGCAAAAAGCCTGCAACACAAAGGGAGATAATCATCATTTGAAAATAAATAATAATAATAATTTGAGGTTCTTATATACAGTTTTATCAGATTCTAGTTCGAAGGTCGTCTCAAAGCGGTTCACAAATTATTATTCGTGGTTATAGGGCCTTTGAAACCAGCCAATATCTTTCTCAATTCCCTGGGGAGCATACAGCTGGTGCTGTCATTTCGGTGCTCACAGCTAGCATTCTATAATTCTAGCACTGCCCAACCACATACTCATTTACAGCTGAGTAGACTGGAACAAGCAGAGTAAAGTATCTTGCTCAAAGATACAACACAGTGCCGTGCCGAGGCTCGAACTTGCCACCCTTCGGTCACGAGCCTGGCGTCTTACCACTAGACTACTGTGCCTCCTGTAAAACAGTAAAATTTCTCAAGAAACACTACATAACAGAGTTTATCCTGAACGATGTGGCCGTTTAGGTCACAGAGAAACACTTACAGAACTCGTCCTTAAGGATGCGGCCAGTTTGGACACAGCCATTTCCCATAACTCATCCATGTAGGCACGGTTGACCAGGCCTTGGGTCGTACTTAAGATGTGATCCTCTACTACAAAAAACCTGTGGAAACATTGAAATGTTACACTATGTCACTTGATTCAAGCTCTATCATTGTCACTTTTTGAGTATAATCAAAACACATGTAAATCTTTTTTGTACAAAGAATAGTCATTCTAAAAATATGTCACATGACCCTCAAACTGAGTTAATTTCTTCATTTTTTTTCATTAATCTATGTAGTTGTTTAATGGTGAATAATTCACACTTACCCTACAATATCATGGAAGTATCTCTTGTAATGATCGATGGCTTCATGCTACAACAAAAATGTACAAATTATTTGAAACAAATATCCAATAATGTGAGTTTGCTGACATTCTATTTTAGATTAGAAGTGTGTATAGTTTCTCAATTTGGTAAACCTCCAACAACCATTCAATATAAAGTTTCTATAAATCTAAATTATCTTGCTTAAGAAACTTGCATATGTATACACTTATAATTACCATGTTGGAGGCAGCCTGTAGTGACAGCCTCGCTTGTTTCCGCCGCTGTTTTCTGTAGTATGTCTCAAATTTCTCACGATCTCCCTGAATAAAGGTTTAACCATTAAGCTATTGACATCAAATGAGAATACAGATGACAGTAATCATAGTTCGTGAACATTCTAAAGGCTATATAAAAATATAACTAACAAATACGAAATAGTTATACACATGTCCACACTTTTTCTCTAATATGAACTTTATGAATAGTTAAGAGTGTTTATCTTCCATTAAGCCCAGGGGTAACATGTAATCTCTTAATCAAAATATACAGGTAGGCTTGTTATAGGGCAATGAAATAATTATTATTGACATTTTACTGAACTGCAATAGATATGGGTGGGCTTATTACCAGGCATGGGCTTATTACCAGGCATGGGCTTATTACAAGGCATGGGCTTATTTCCTGATAAATATGAAATGCATTGCCACAGAAGAGCAACACACACATGATCTTTTTTTCTAAATATGGAAATTAAAGCATTTAGGAAAATGTCAAGATGTAAATAAATGTGAACTTAATACTTCTGTGAAGGAACCAATTTCTCGTTCTCTGATCAGTTTTGTTGTTTAAATGCAGTTTCAAATTCCAGATACCACATAACTTTTTAGAATTGATTCAATATACATGATGTCTGGGGAGACAAGAAGTGATAGAATCACAGCTTACCAGCACAGTGTATATATGTAGACATCTATAGACTGGGGAGAAGTCTATCAGATCTTGAGCACTTAACTCCTGTCAAAGAAAATCAACAATAATGATACACAATAGAAAATGTAAGACTCATAAGTGTAAATCTGTGTTTCTTCTTACTACAAGTAGGAGTCATAGAAATGTTTAGTTAACAAGTACACATAGGTCTGTCAGTCTGCATGTCCACTTAAAATATTCTGGTAATTAATTGCTGAAAGCTACAGTAAGCCATATCAGATAAAGAGTACCGTGGGGCTGAACAATATACGCCCGTCGAATGCCATATATTGTTTTATACAATCTTACATTGAAATAAATTCTGCATCATTCAGAGAGTGGTTAGCTGACATGCGTTAAAAAATGTAGGAGAAAATCTCCAGACAAAAAGTCAAATACTGAAATGAACAAAGGGCAAGAACTTTTGCAAAAATCGTTGAATCAAAATTTTTTAAAGGTAGACATAACTTAATATGATAATTATAATGTATACCAAGTTTCAAAGAGATCCGTTGAAAACTGTAGGAGGAGATTGCCAGACAAAAATCAAATACTGAAATAAACAAAGGGCAATCACTTTTGCAACAAGGTTACCGCGAGCGGTATATAATACGCCCGTCACACATTGAATGAGCAGTTGTTTGTATGATTGAAATATATGAAGTATTTGTGAGTAATTGATATTAAAAGAGAAATCATTCAACATAACTGGTAGATCAATGAGTGCAATACAACATCATGGAACGCATGCATCGCATTAATGAAACCAAGGGGAATAACTCCAATAATTACGGTCGGATAATGGCGGTTATCGAACTTGTCCGAGGTTTCATGGTAATTAACCTTGTTGTGAAGTTTGAAGTTAATCCGTTAATAATTACTCGAGATATCGAGCGGACACTGTTTCGGCAAATTCATACTCCCGTCAAATTTGACGGGCGTATAAAAACAGACAAAACACTGAACTAAGACAAACATATCTCAGTATAAAATATCAAACAACACATCTAACTTACAATGCCTATGTGACAAAAAACATACCCCCATTTCCTCCTCATTAAGTTCAGGTGTGTCCTCTGCAACAGGCTCGGGTTCCAAGTCCACCTCCCCTGTGAATGGGTTGGGAGGGGGAGGGGCCTTCTTCTTCAACTTTTTTTTACTCGCGATCACTATAGATGGGTCCATGTTGTTATGTTCCGCAGCCTGTAAATCAACAGTAATGTACAGGTAACACATCTGCATACAATGAATTTCAACCACATGTTAATATTTTATTACCTTCTTTTTGAAGAACTAACCCTTTTTTATACCTCTCTGTTCCGATTGTAATGTACCATGTATTTAATATTTTGTCCATCTATATGTTCCCTGCTTTACAAGTGTATACATGTTATTTTGATGGTAAGTTTTTGATACAGGCACAATTCAACAAGAAACACCTGTACAAAGTTATCTATATCTTGCTTCATGCTGATGTATTTTGTGATTAGATTTTAAAACATGTTTAATTTGATTCCAGTGTATGGCACATATGTATCAAAGTTTTCTGTACATTTTAGAAAAGTGCATAGCTTTCGTTTTTAATGGAAAAGTGTTTAAATCAATGAACTATAACAATTCAATACTGAACATGAAATTAGTTGTTTAGTAGGTGTTGTTTTATTAAACAAACAAGACACAATATCGGAAAATACATATCAGAAATGCACGGCCATGCACTAAATGTAATACATGGTCAGTACCATTAGATCCATTTGACAAAATATTTTACACCAAAAAGTCCTACAATATTATACCACAGAGTCTTACACTGTAAAGCAAACTAGTCTGTATATCTACTGATGGTGGTGGTTAAGAGTGCAAAGGCCGGGGGAATGGTTGGGATATCGGGCAAGACTTTTCCAGAGAAGGAGGGATGGGCAAGGACTTTTCCAGAGTATGGGGGAGGGGTAAGACTTTTCCAGAGTATCTCTTTACAAACACGATCAAACACTTCAGATTATTGAAGGAATGCTGGAATTGGACGTTAAATATTGGCAACACACAGTTTAGCTTATCAATGACACAGGGGGAGTTGAGCAGGGAGCTGAGTAAATGTTTCTAAAGGGGTGGGTATTTGTTGTAATTTATTTTCAGCAATTCAGAATCACAATCTCAGGAATCAGCATTTAAACTAATACCACTGAACATGACATTTTCAGGACTTGTAAACAATTTACATATGTGATTGATAACGACATGCCTTAGTAATTTTATTTTTCTGAATTCTGCAGAATGAGATGAAATCAAAATACTGTAATAAAAAATATAACATACTTAATACTGTAAGCCAGATAACAGTTAATTATATCGCACATACAAATGAAGAAAAACAGACAGACAGGACATAAACAAAGGACATAATTGTAGGAAAGATAGTGCTATGCATTTCAAAAATAGCATGCAATGTGCAGCCATAATGCATTCATGATGATGACAGAGGATGCTTGCCATTATGTGACACAAGTATTCCATGGGAATTCAGGACCAATCAGTTGAAAAATATGTACAGAACAATGTTCCTTGTGTACTATTTCAATCCTTTAACAGACAGGCGGTGTCACATAATGGTATGCACCCTGTGAACTGACAAGCTCCTGGGAAATAAAACATAAACGGGACCTTGATTCTGCGCAACATTGTGTTGTCCTCCATTCTTGTGAATGTGTTCTGTTTTTCCTGTTGTCGTGGAAACACATTTACACATCGATGATATGATTTATAAAACAGGAATTATTGCAAAGCAAATTAAAATAAGGTACAAAGTATTATGATGTTACATGAAGTATACTAGTACTGTAAACCCTAACATTTTTCACTCGGTCTAATTTTCGCCCTCTGTAATTTGCACCAATACACAGATTCATTAACCAGTAGTTATAGCTAAAAATATGTTTGTTATATTGAAACAAGGAATTCCATTTGTAATGGCTATACCATCAAACAGGTCTACGAGTACCAAAAACAAGGTGGTATGTTGAGAGGCTTCAATTTCTTCAGCGGACAGACCGTGTTCATAAATGGGACTCTGTTCCGTTTACTTTAAAAGGTGTTTATTCAACAATGAACACGGTTTGAAAATACACACAAAGTAGTGTTAAATTACCTTTTTTTTTTTAGCATGAATTACGTAGAAACTATAATCATAACATACAATCCTCTAATTTTATATTGCAACCCTAGGCAGTAAATATATATGCAGGTACAATGAATATGTAAACATATGTTAAGGGCAATAATTCCCACTGGCTGTACATGTGAGCTGGCTGTACATGTGAGCGTTATAAGCTCATGGCATTTTGAGGTTCACCCAGCTCTAACATCATTGATTTTAAGTCGATAATTTGAGTTTTGAATTATTGGTAAGTTTCCACTTTGACAAATTCATCATTAATGTATTTTTAATAAAATAAACCCAAACAGTTAGCATGCCTGCATTATACTAGTAAAGCTAATTATAATACAATAATTATAATGTATATGATATGATACTTTTCTCTTTACTTTTTTCCCTCTGTATTCGAGGGCGAAAATACAACCGAGTGAAATTTCCTATTATGTTATTTATGTACGTAGTATATAGAAGTAGTCAATATAACCTTCTGGTATGATGTGTATATCTTGTTAAATACATGTAGTACAGGATGAGTTAGTATACGAAGTTACAGTGTACACCTCAAAACGTACACAGCATAGATGTACACACTGTCACACACTGCACCTATACATATCTACCCCTATATGGACATAAAGCGATTGAAATTAAACTGATTAGGTCATATTATTCAAATTTATAAACATAACACTCGTCGATATCAAGCAATTACTTCATTCATTCATTGATGTATTTTATAACAAATGGTGATATTTTTCTATGATTTTGCAATAAGCAGTTTTTTTCCAAAACACTAATTATCAGATTCACCTTCCAAATTTTGCATCATTGATAATCACATAAAAACATGTGCTAAATGACTGACCTTGAAAATGATCTTTACACCAAACACCATCCCAGTTACAGATATGATTATTATAAACGTGAAATGATTCTGATTTAATGAGGCAGTGAATTTTGCATGGTCAAGCAGTAAATGTTATATGAAAGTGGCCTAGACACACACACAATGTTTACAACAAAAACATGTTAAATTCTAGAAAATTTTCCTTCAATCTTACACCTCCACGATTAATGGTAACAGTTAATCTAAGTAAACTATGTAACATGCAAATGGAAGCAATATGCAGCATAACCTGAATAAATAAACATCTTTGTTTTGTTCTGTCATCTTTGGGCCCATTCAATGTCCAAATACAGGTTTGAATTTTGTATCTAAATTAAGGTCCATTTAATATCCAAATATGCAGTAATGTAACCAATACCATATTAGAGTGCTATCCTGCAGGCTTCTTTTGAAAATGTTTACAACCCTAACCCCTCTGACATGAAATTAACAACCCTTGGTCTTTGGACAGAGGAACTACACCGCAGAAATATATGATTAACTCAGATTTTAGCCCCAGATTGATGTTGAATTAAACAGGTTTTAAGTGAACAGAAAATCAACATCGTTAATCTACCAGCTACAAGCAATGTGCTTACGTGTTTCATGGCAACTTCTCCAATCTTAGCCGAGTGTTTACGAATGTTCTCCAGGAAGTCTTTCAGATCAGACATGGACGCTTCTTTGATACGTTCACGCAACTTTGGAATAGCATCGCTCATGGTCTCGGAGAACCAGTGGGTATTTACACGGGGAAGGTATGTGTGTTCTAATTGTTCTAAAGTCTTTAGAGCGGGGTAATACCTGTACCAACACATGTCAAATTAAAGTGGGAAATATATTTTTTCAAATTCAAACTCCGGGAAATTAATATTTATATAGCATCCTGTATAATTTACAAAATTACTCTAAGGTGGAATAAAAAGCCCATGTTTTAAAATCATTCTAAAATTAAACAAGCATGTATAGGTAAAGGCATATACATCGTAAATCTACACTATGGAATTTGCATGTTCTCATGCAAATTGTTCTTCTTACTGCGAAAGGAAGGGAGACCTAATATTTGAAAGATGATTTATGACAAATGAGTTTTCATTTTTCCAGCAACAATGCTAAAACGATTGTACAGTACATGTCATCTAACTTGTATAAATTTAACTTGTATATAAACATCAGATTATTTGTTTAAACTCTTGGAAGGAAAATGATTTTTCAGTGAGAATTATTTCAAATGGACAGAGAACAAATGTTTTCCTGTATCATCTGGTAATTACCGTTTACTCCTCATCTGGTCCTGTAGTTTCCCATACATTTCTAATACTGAAAAACAAAGGAAAATAATGATTACATCCTTTTATTGAAGTTTCAGAAACCATCAACCTATCAGAGGTAATTATAAGATAATTACGTGCACATTTCATTCAAATTCAAACTTTTCATATTTAAAGTGTTGACCATATTTCATCAAAATCAGGTTATATCTGATGAAGTTTTGTGCAGAAACTGTGACCAATCAGAGCATAGAGTTTATTATGTGCAGATTATACTGAACTTCAAAATTTCTTTTTTGGTATATTGTAGATGCATACTAAATTTCATCAAATTAAATGATATTTGAGCAAGTAATCTTACAAAAACCAAGGTGTGTAGAATCAACATTACTTCCCCACCACCTATACATCAAATAAAATTAACCTCCTATCGACTTACAAGAAAAGAAAATTATGACATGCACAGTTTACACAGATACACACCGGGTAAGCAGAGGTTGAGGTTCTCAGCAGCCGAGGCTATGTTACGCTGTATCCGGCGACACTTGATGAGCTGTTCACCCTTACTCATCAGAGGAGAGCAGGACTCCTGGAGGCTCTGATTATCCGCCTGAATCTCGTCCTGTCAAAGAAATGGATACAGGTTAAAAGCTTTATTAACTACTGTTTACAGTATAGGATGTACATGATATATACATCATAGAATAAACTCTATAAATAAATGTTTTTGCTTTTTTCATCTTTCTTACACAGTTTAACCATTTATTTTTATTTTTCAAACTATTCCGTCTTTTCGTATTGCAGAGTTATCTGCTCTTGTGAGCAGGTATTGATCGTTACATCTCATGTTTGTGAGAGTAACGTCATACATCTTTGAGAAACTGACGTAATTTTCTCACACAAACTAATGACGTAACAATCAATACCTACTCACAAGAGCAGATAACTCTGCAATACGAAAAGACGGAATAGTATAAATACATGTAAATCATAGAATATGTAGGACATCATTTAATATATACATATACTATATATAATTTCACAGACAAATTTTAATTAGCAAACAAATGATCCCTTACAGTACTATACAAATGTCTACAGGTTCAGGAAAGAATTTTGTAGAGTTAATTTCGTATTTTATTTTATCTGGCCCATGCCTGATAATATGCTCATCCATACATATTGCAGTTCAGTAAAAATACCAATAAATGCTATTTCATTGTCCTGTAATAGGCCCACCCCATTACTTTAAGATTTAATACATGTGCGCACCCCTTGTCCCACTTATTGCAGGATTAATAATGTATGTTTCTGCTTTTAGCTAGTGACCTTGAGCTGGGCAGCGTCCATGCTGACTTTGAGTAGCTCGCGTATGGAGTCGATGAAACCTTGGTAATGGTAGTTACACATCCGTTCAATCTCCTTGTCATGTGACTTGATATGGTCATCAAGTCTCGTTTTAAACTTCTCCAGTTCATCGCCTTCGTATACCGCTCTGTAACACAAATGGTCATTAATGAGTATGGCTGCCAATAAAACTTGGGAGTAAATTTTCTCATAATTATATTTATCATTACACGATTTTGGAGTTCTGTAGCAATTATAAACATATAGACTCAATAAGAATCCTAACTTGAAAAGTCAATTCCACATATATAGCCTCCAGTAGATAAAACTTATTCCTATGGCAATATATTTATTTCCAATGTACATACATGAATATGACTACTCATCATACATTTGTGGTTGAAGTGGAGCCATGATAACATGTTGACAAGTGTAAATTCATTCATCAATTACTCCAGCTGTTATGACCAATGGGATACAAACACATAACATCAGGCCTGTACAAATATATATATATACTTATGAAATATGTTTTTATTCAATTACTTTTTATTTCAATTAACAGCTGACATAGTAAAATCCTAATTTTGTCAGAAAAAAATAATGCATATCTATGTTTATTAATAGGACACATACTAGTCTGTATATCTCTGTTTATTAATAGGACACATACTAGTCTGTATATCTCTGTTTATTAATAGGACACATACTAGTATGCATATCTCTGTTTATTAATAGGACACATACTAGTATGCATATCTCTGTTTATTAATAGGACACATACTAGTATGCATATCTCTGTTTATTAATAGGACACATACTAGTATGCATATCTCTGTTTATTAATAGGACACATACTAGTATGCATATCTCTGTTTATTAATAGGACACATACTAGTATGCATATCTCTGTTTATTAATAGGACACATACTAGTATGCATATCTCTGTTTATTAATAGGACACATACTAGTATGCATATCTCTGTTTATTAATAGGACACATACTAGTATGCATATCTCTGTTTATTAATAGGACACATACTAGTATGCATATCTCTGTTTATTAATAGGACACATACTAGTATGCATATCTCTGTTTATTAATAGGACACATACTAGTATGCATATCTCTGTTTATTAATAGGACACATACTAGTATGCATATCTCTGTTTATTAATAGGACACATACTAGTATGCATATCTCTGTTTATTAATAGGACACATACTAGTATGCATATCTCTGTTTATTAATAGGACACATACTAGTATGCATATCTCTGTTTATTAATAGGACACATACTAGTATGCATATCTCTGTTTATTAATAGGACACATACTAGTATGCATATCTCTGTTTATTAATAGGACACATACTAGTATGCATATCTCTGTTTATTAATAGGACACATACTAGTATGCATATCTCTGTTTATTAATAGGACACATACTAGTATGCATATCTCTGTTTATTAATAGGACACATACTAGTATGCATATCTCTGTTTATTAATAGGACACATACTAGTATGCATATCTCTGTTTATTAATAGGACACATACTAGTATGCATATCTCTGTTTATTAATAGGACACATACTAGTATGCATATCTCTGTTTATTAATAGGACACATACTAGTATGCATATCTCTGTTTATTAATAGGACACATACTAGTATGCATATCTCTGTTTATTAATAGGACACATACTAGTATGCATATCTCTGTTTATTAATAGGACACATACTAGTATGCATATCTCTGTTTATTAATAGGACACATACTAGTATGCATATCTCTGTTTATTAATAGGACACATACTAGTATGCATATCTCTGTTTATTAATAGGACACATACTAGTATGCATATCTCTGTTTATTAATAGGACACATACTAGTATGCATATCTCTGTTTATTAATAGGACACATACTAGTATGCATATCTCTGTTTATTAATAGGACACATACTAGTATGCATATCTCTGTTTATTAATAGGACACATACTAGTATGCATATCTCTGTTTATTAATAGGACACATACTAGTATGCATATCTCTGTTTATTAATAGGACACATACTAGTATGCATATCTCTGTTTATTAATAGGACACATACTAGTATGCATATCTCTGTTTATTAATAGGACACATACTAGTATGCATATCTCTGTTTATTAATAGGACACATACTAGTATGCATATCTCTGTTTATTAATAGGACACATACTAGTATGCATATCTCTGTTTATTAATAGGACACATACTAGTATGCATATCTCTGTTTATTAATAGGACACATACTAGTATGCATATCTCTGTTGATTAATAGGACACATACTACTGTAGTACTAGTCTGTAGACAGATTTAAAACAAGAGGCCCATGGGCCTTAACGGTCACCTGATATATTTATACAGAGAGTTGATTTCGTTTTTAACATGAACAGAAATATTATTCAAAGTGACAAAAAACAATAAAACCACCTTATTCAATATCAAGCATACA